CTCGCCTCCCCTCCCCTCTCCTCTCCTCTCCTCTCCTCGCCTCTCCTCTCTTCTCCTCTCCTCGCCTCGCCTCTCCTCTCCTCGCCTCGCCTCTCTTCGCCTCTCCTCGCCTCGCCTCTCTTCGCCTCGCCTCTCCTCTCCTCTCCTCGCCTCGCCTCGCCTCGCCTCGCCTCGCCTCGCCTCCTCCTCCTCTCCTCCTCCCCTCTCTCCTCTCCCCTCCCCTCCCCTCTCTCCCGCTCACAGAGATATGGATTCATCGATTGGCTGATAGCCCCTCGAATTAGTTAATTAATCAGTAGTCGCCTCGTCCGTGGAGCGAGATTAGCCGAGACCTGCCGATGCTCGCCGAGGTTCGCCGAGATTGCTCGAGATCGTCTTGATGCATCGAGATCAACAGCCAACGGCGTGTCCGCGAGCGTGGTGAGAGATGGCGCCAAGAGACGGCGCCGAGGAGTGCGGTCAGTGTCTTGTACTCGCCGAGATCTGCCGAGATCCCCGAGATCGCGATGAGCCACGATGACGCGAGATTACCCGAGACTGTGATGAGCTGAGATTACCCGAGATCGTGATAGCCGAGATTACCCGAGCTCGATGAGCCGAGATTACCCGAGATTACCCGAGATGAGTCCCCATGCGCGAGATCAGCCGAGATCAGCCGAGATCACCGAGATTAGGCGCGCGAAGCTCGGGACGAGTCCTGCGCGAGATCACCCGAGGTTAGACCCACACGCACCACCCACACACCCACACACACATGAGCTGCCCCTGCGTGCCGCGCCGCCGCCCGCCGCCCACTCCGTTGGCACGCCGGGCAGCACAGCGGCGGTCGTGCCTCTCTCCGTGGGGCGGCCGCCGCTGTGCTGCGCCCCCGTCGTACACAGTCGCTCTGCCTGAGTGTGCTGACTCGGGACTGCAAAAGCCGGGGCCGCCCGTCCGCACACGTTGATGTGCGCTCGAGAGGACACACAGAGGTCAGAGCGCGAGTCGGGCTCGTGACAGCTGTGTGACACACCAGCCACGTGTGTGAGATTCCGTGTGATTGCCATTCATGTCTGTGGGTCCGCTCGCTCGCAAGACAAGACGATTGGGCCGGAAAAGGTAGACTCGGACACACAGAGCTCACAGACTCCGTCAAAAGCTCTTCCCGGCTCATTACGAAACGCGACACCGACACAGACTAGCACCGACAGACGGCGTCCATGTGTATGTGTGTGTGACGCATTCGTCGGCGAAGCCGGTCGCTCCGCGCCGTAGTCAAAGCGCGAGCGCGGAGAGCAGCACGCGCCCGCCGCACGCCGCTCGCAGTGCCTCGAGCTTGGCGTCGAATCTCCTCCCTGAAGGCGAGCGCGACGGGGAGAGCGGCGGCGGCTTATCGAGCAGTGGCGCCTGTGGCGGGCGTCGGACGGTGTGAGGGTCGGGCGAGAGGAGGGTGGAGGGCCGTCGGCCGCCTGAGTGCGGCGGCGAGCAGTCCGCTGTGCGCCTCGCCGTGCCAGAGAGTGTGTGGGTCGACACTGAGCCGCGGCGAAGACCGCTCGTTCAGGGACAGCACACGCCGGTCGCAGCGGCGGCTGCAATTGCTCGCGTTCGCTGGCGCCCAGAGACGGAGCCTCGAGGGTGCTACGTGGGCCGCTGCAGACACTTCGCCGTGAGCCAGCTCCCACTTGTGCTCTCTCGTCCTCGACCGCCAGCCGACTCGGCCGCCGAATTTCTTGTTTTCCGATTCTGTTTACCAATTGGTATACAGAATCTATTTTGGCGCGAAAACGAAAAGAAAAAATTAAAAGACGGCGGAAGTGGAGAGAGCGACTGAGAAAGAGATTCTCGGGACTGATTCCAACCGACCGGAAATCAGCAATTTCTTTTGTCTTCCCCAGCAGGGCTTCGCCGGGCTTCCAGGGTACGGCGGCTCTGAAAGGCGGCGCCCGGCGGGCAATTTCATTCGCCCCAAATCGGGGGGTGGTTTTGCCACCCCCCGATTTCGGCATGATGACCCCAAACCGACCCAAACCGGGGGGGGATGAAGCGAAAAATAAAACGCCGTGGGGTGAGGGGAGGGGGGGGGGTGAAAAATTGAAAGACGAGGGGGGCGAGGAGAGGGTGATGGCGCGTGGGTTTGAGCGTGCCCTATACGCCCAGAATCGGGCGAGGGACCTCCGTCGGGACTTTTCTTTTCGAAAAAGAAAAGACGCTTGCAGCAGGGCGGGAAGTTCTCACCATGACCAAATCACAAAAACGGGGATCTGGTGCATCTCTCTCTCTCTCTCCCAAACGGACAAAAACAACAAAGGAATTTGTTTTTCGTGGGATTTGTTTTGTTTGGGTTCGGACACGGGACACGCCTGTTCGGCTCGCCTTCGACTCTGAATGCTTTTTCTTTTTTCGCTTCTCTTCTTCCTCTGGATTTTTTCTCTTTCGGTTTCGCGCCAAAATAGATTCGCAAAACCAATTGGTTTTCAGAATCTTCGTGGGCCGCCGTCCCCCAGCCGACTTGTGGCGGGGACAGCGTCTCTCTCGCTCTTCCACTCGAGCCCTGCAGCCGGAATTAGACCGGAGCCCTGCAGCCGCGAGAGCTAAGGTCGCTGCACGCCTGCGCCCCCGCAAGGCCCCGCAGCGGCCGGGCCGGGCTGCCTTGGTGGCGTGGGCGGGACATCTCCCGCTGCCGCGTCGCGGCCGTCGGACGCGCTCGGAAGCACGCCATGAGCCTCTGAGGATGCTGCTCCGGCCGACGAGCCTGTGGTCGGCGACGCTGACGGCGGCGGCGTCGGCGGCACGGGCAAGACGCGGCGCTGGGCCAAGGTTCGCTCCCACTGCTCTGCTCGCACTCATCGGCTCGGGTGTGTGGCAGCCAGCTGGCTGTGTGTCTTGTGAGCCTGTTTGTGTCTGTGTGGCGCTCGTGCGTGTCAGTCGCCATTTATAAAATGAACTCGGGGGCACGGGACGCGGCACAAACGGGGCACAAACGCCAGGCTACAAAGACGGGCAGGCACGTAGTGACGCAGGGGAGTCTAGGCGACGGCGTCCTCCGACGCCGCGGCGAGCCTGAGCTCGGTCGCAATCTCTTCCGCCGCCGCGAACTGCAGCGCGACTGACGTGCGCTGGGCCTGCAGCGACAGCCACGACCGCCGGCGTCGACCAGCTCGCCTCGTCCTCGTGCTGCCGCTTCGAGAGCTTGTTGCGCACCTTGTCCTTCATCTGGTAGAACAGCCGCTTGACCGCGTTGCACCACCCGCCGAAGGTTTCGAACAGGTACATCTGCACGTCGGTGTCCGAGCGCGAGAGGGCGTGCGCGTAGTCCGCCTTCTTGTACGCCACATGCCGCCGCCGTCGCTCGGCCTGAAGTCGCCGTCCCCGACAGCGCCGCGCTGCTCGCGAGGCCGAAGACGTCCGCGCTCCTGCCGGGCTCGGTGTTGCCGAGGCCGACGAAAGCGCCTCGCTGGCCGACGTCCTCCGGGTTGGAGGAGAGAGGGTCCTTGAACTTGACGTCGCCGAGGAGGCGTGAGCGCGAGCGGCCGGCGCCCGCCACCGAGACGTCGGGCCGGTAGTCGTTAGAGTAGCCGAGGTGGTCCCGCGGCTCCACCTCGACGAGCATGCCCCACACGCTCCGCATGACCTTGGCCAGGGCGGCGAGGAGGCTGTTATGGCGGCCGCAGTGCCCGAGGCGGCCGATGTTGCTGGACGCGTCGCCCAGTGGGTCCTGCACCTTGCCGCCGCGCGCCGAGCAGGTCGGCGGGTCGGCGCGCCCCGCGCGAGCGCCTCGTCGAGTGGTAGCCCGAGCCGCTGGACGGCGATGCGCAGCGCCCACGTCGGGATACATGTCAGTCGAATCATCTGTCTCGCGTCCACCCATACCGCGTTGGTGTCCAGTCCGAGCCTGGCTGTTCTTCACCTTCCTACCATCCTAACCTAACCTAAGGAGCAAAGGGCGCCCGATTAGCGCTGCGCGCTGCCGGGCAAAAAACAATGGCGATGTGTCGAAGCCCAGCTGGCCTAGTGTCGTGTGAGATTGTGTCAGTGACAGTGTCAGGTGACAGTGACAGTGTCCTGAGGGGCGCGTGGTTGTAACCACGTAGTATGACTACAGCCCACCACAGACACCCTCCCTCTCTCTCCACACGTGTGCACACACCCTCACCCTCTCCCCTCTCCTCTCTCGCTCTCTCTCCTCTCTCTCCTCTCCTTGTCTGTGCTGTCTGTCTGACTCAGGCACTAATTCTGCTGATGCGTGATTGTGTGTGGGCTGCTCCGAGGGGGGCCTGTGCGATCCGATTTGGTAGGGAGTCTGTGCCCGCGGGCGGTCGTGTCCGGTGCGGAGTCTCCTTCTGATCCCGCCTGTGATGGTGTTGGGTGTGAGGTCGTGGAAGCTTCGATCCCAAGGGGGGGAGCCGAGCCCACTCATAACCAACTCTCTCAGGGGCAGCAGGTGGGCGAGCCTCGAGCGCGCTCATCTCGATCGTCAAGGCGTCGCTACGCGCGGTCTTCCGCGGGGGGAGCTTCGTCGACGGGTGCGGGACCGCGGCGCAGACAGTGCTGCGGCGATGCCTCCGGCTGTTTGCGGCGGGCGGCTTGCTGCTCGCGGCGATGGCGAAAAACTCGTCTCGTGTCACACCAAGGGCTTATGCTCTGGCGAGACGTGAGGCGCATGCGCCCAGGAGGGGAGGGCGCATGCGTAACTTTCTACTTACATACATGCGTAACGACGCTGCTAGAGATGCCTTTCGGGGCCCAGAGATAAAACTTCTGATGCCATGCATGACCTAGTAGTGTCCCCAGCTATGGGCGTGTCCACGTTGGAGCCAGGTGTGGTGTGGGCGCGAGCATAGCTCCGCCGTTCATGGAGGCAACCGATACGAGTCGACTGGTGTGTGTCGTCGTGGTTTCGTATCAAGAATACACACACACACACACACGCTGCAGGGAAGGGCTGTGTAAGAAGCCGATCCCCGTAGTCCGCCCCCCTCCTCCCCATCGGGCCGCATGAGCGGCCACGCCTCGCAGATTCGTTTTCGCGCATGGGTCAGGCGCGCGGGGCATCCCCCGGGTCGCTCGACCAGCGATCCGAAGCGGGTGAAAATTCTTTTTGAGAGCGCCTTCGTTGTTAATAGTACAAGCCCAATGGTCCCTTTCGAGCGGTCCCCTGTCGCAGTCGCACACACGCACACGCCGCACCGCACCGCGCGCTCGCCCGCTGCCCCGCCCAGGCGGGAAAGAGATGAGTGGATGGGACAGCAAAGGAGGAGGCACAAACACGTATGGGAGGGTTCAGTAATGCGCCACGCTGCCCGGCGTCTCTCACATTCCGGGACAGCCCCGCCCTTTCGAGGCAGGAGAGTGACGGCTACCCCGTACGCCCTGCGGCCTGCTACCCCGACGCCGACCGCCCAGTCCCCCCTCCTCCAACCCTCGAATTCTTTTTTCGCGAGCTGTTAGCCTCCGCCACCGACGAGACGGCGATGGCCGCGAGGCGGCGGCTGAGGCTCGCGACTATTCTACTGGTGGCCTCGCGAGCGGCTGCGCTGGCGACGCCGGCCACGCGATCGCTCTCGCCGCCCGCTCACCGCTTTGCGCCGCCGCCGCTCCGCACCGCGGGTCCGCTTTTGTGCAGCGGCGCAGGCGGCGTCAGCAGCAAAGGCGACGCTGCAGAGCATCCACCAGACTGGGGTGGGCGGCCGCGGGGACTGGGGCCACGCGGGTGGCCCAGCAGAGCGGCTGCAGTCCGAGCGGCACGGCTTCGCCGCCGCTGGCTACTGCAGCTCGAGCGGGCGGGCGGGTGGCTTAGCGCGATGGCGGCGGCGGCCTCCCGCAGCGCGGCGAGTGCACGTGTGGCGCTCGTGGCGGTGCTGCTGATGGCGTGCACGAGTCGCGGCCCGCTCGCGGACCGGCTGGCCGAGCCGGCGGGCGGGGGAGCTCCACCCTCCACCATGCAGCGGCTCGTTCAATCTCGCGGCGCCGAGGTACAGCCGAGAGATCGAGAGGTCGCCGAGAGGCCGCCGAGAGACCGCCGAGACGGCACTAGACGTGCACTACACTGCACGACACCACGACTCTGCTCAAACATCACCTCCTCTCACAGGAGCGGGTGAGGGTTCGCTTCGGCGGCGGCGGCGGCCGCACCTCTGCCGCCGCCACCGCTCTTGCGAGGACGGCGGAAGCGCCGAGCGGCTTGGTGGGGCGCAGCGCCAGCGCGGTGGCGCAGACGTGGCGGGAGGTGCGGGAGCACGCTTGCCCGGCAGAGCGCGGGGCACGATGAGTGAGCGAGGGAGCGAGTGAATTGAACTAGGTGCGCGAGCACGCCTCGCCGGCAGAGCGGGATACGATGGTGCTCCTCGCAACCGCCGCGCTGGTGACGCCGATCATGGGCACCCTCAACCTCTCGCCCGTCCTCGGCTTCCTCTTCGCCGGCATCCTCCTCGGCCGGTACCGGCCCGCGCGCCACTTCTCTTCCTGTTGTCCGAATGCGTTTCTGGCTTAGGCATCCTCCTCGGCCCGACCGGCCTCGGCGTTGTGTCGGATGTCGCCACCACGACCAAGCTCGCCGCGCTAGACGGGGAAGACGGGGAAGACGCCCACTGCGCCGCACTGCACGGACTCACTGCGCGCGTGCACTGTGCTCACACACTTGAGCACTCATTGAGCACACACACGCACGGGGCGCCAGGTGCACTCCCCGCCCCTCCCCCCCCTCCCCTCCCCTCTCCTCCCCTCCCGCCGCAGGCTCGCGGAGTTCGGCGTCGTCTTCTTCCTCTTCGAGATGGGGCTGGAGCTCGAGTTGGAGAGGCTCCAGATTCCCCGAGATTGCCCCGAGATGACCTAGGGATGACCCGAGGTGACCCGAGATGACCCGAGATGACCTCGAGATGACCTCGAGATGGCCCCGAGATGACCTAGGGATGACCTAGGGATGACCCGAGGTGACCCGAGGTGACCTCGAGATGACCCGAGGTGACCCGAGATGACCCGAGATGACCTCAAGATGACCCGAGATGACTCCGAGATGACGCGAGATGACCTCGAGATGACCTCGAGACTACCCGAGACTACCCGAGATGACCTTGAGCTGGCCTCGAGATGACCTTGAGCTGACCTCGAGATGACGCGAGATGACTAGAGATGAGCCGAGAGCCCTCAAGATGAGCAGCGCACTCGCGCTGTGTGCTAGGCTAAAGTCGGTGGGGCGCGACGCCTTTCGGCTCGGGGGCGCACAGTTCGCGCTCACCTCTCTGGTCTTCGGCGCCGTCGCCACCGCGTTCGGCGCCTCGGGGCCGGCGGCCGTCGTCTTGGGCGGCGGCCTCGCGCTCTCCTCCTCGGCCTTCGTGATCCAGCTGCTGTCGGAGAAGGGGGAGCTCGCCACCCGCTTCGGCCGCGCCTCCTTCGGCATCTTGCTCTTCCAGGACAGCGCCGTATATATCTCCCCCACATCTCCCCCACATCTCACCCCCCCACCTCCGGCATCTTGCTCTTCCAGGACATCGCCGTCGTCCCCCTCCTCGTCGTCACGCCGCTTCTCGGTGGCTCATCCGGCGCAGCCCTCGGCGCCGCCCTTCGCGTCGCCGCTATCAAGAGCGCCTCGGCCCTCGCAATCATCTTTGTCACCGGGCGGCTGCTGCTCCAGCGCGTTTTTCAGCTCGTCGCGTCGGCGCGCGACCAGACCGCCTTCTTGCCGCCGTCACCGTCAGCGTTCATCGTGATGTCCACAGCCTCCCAGCCCCCCTCCAGCTCAGTCCCCTTCCCGCTGCTTGATCCAACCCTTGGCCCTCTGATGTCCGGTGCAGCACATGTACTCTTGGTGTGTGTGCTGTGGGCCCTCCTTGTCTCTGCAATAGACCGTGTGAGGTAACACCTACCTACCCACCTACCTACCTCCCTCCCTCCCTCCGCCTCCTGCTCCTACGCGCGTGCACTTCTCCTCTTCCCTCCCTCTGATCTGCCATTGCTGCCGTGGCCAGGCGCGCGACCAGACCGCCTTCCTCGCAATCACGCTGCTGACGGTGCTCTCGATGTCAGCCTTCACGCAAGCGCTGGGCCTGTCCGACACCCTCGGCGCCGTCCTTGCCGGCGAACCGCCGCGCCTGTCTCGAACGCCGTCTCGGATGCCCTCTCGGAGCTCTGCCTGAAGGCGCGTTCCTCGCCGGCGTGCTGCTGGCCGAGTCGAAGTACCGCTACCAGATCGAGGCGGACATCGCCCCCTTCCGCGGCCTCCTCCTCGGCCTCGTTGTTCATGGCCCACCGGCTTCTCCATCGACCTGCCCCCCCACTGACCAGCTCGCTGCTGGTCTGCTGCTTAGGCCTCTTCTTCGTGACCACCGGCTTCTCCATCGACTTGCCCCCCCCACTGACCAGCTCGCTGCTGATCTGCTGCTTAGGCCTCTTCTTCGTGACCACCGGCTTCTCCATCGACCTGCCCCCCCCACTGACCAGCTCGCTGCTGACCTGCTGCTTAGGCCTCTTCTTCGTGACCACCGGCTTCTCCATCGACCTGCCCCCCCCACTGACCAGCTCGCTGCTGACCTGCTGCTTAGGCCTCTTCTTCGTGACCACCGGCTTCTCCATCGACCTGCCCCCCCCACTGACCAGCTCGCTGCTGACCTGCTGCTTAGGCCTCTTCTTCGTGACCACCGGCTTCTCCATCGACCTGCCCCCCCCACTGACCAGCTCGCTGCTGGTCTGCTGCTTAGGCCTCTTCTTCGTGACCACCGGCTTCTCCATCGACCTGCCCCCCCCACTGACCAGCTCGCTGCTGGTCTGCTGCTTAGGCCTCTTCTTCGTGACCACCGGCTTCTCCATCGACTTGCCCCCCCCACTGACCAGCTCGCTGCTGGCCTGCTGCTTAGGCCTCTTCTTCGTGACCACCGGCTTCTCCATCGACCTGCCCCTCGCCCTCGCCTCCGCGCCCGCTGTCGTAGGACTCGCGCTCGCCCTGCACCTCTCCAAGACGGCGATCGTCGCCGCTATCTGCACCGCCAACCAGATGAAGCCCGCCGCCGCGCTTCGCTCGGGCACTGCTCGTCTCGCGGCCACGGCGACGTCTCGTCCACGGGCGGCGCCGTCATCCCGCCGCTGTCTGTGCTAGGCCTGCTGCTCTCGCAGGGCGGCGAATTCGCGTTCGTCATCTTTGGCCTGGCGCAGACGCACGGCATCCTCCCTGTTGGGCAGGTCGAGCTCACCCCCATATCTCCCCCATATCTCCCCCATATCTCCCCCACCTCTCCCCCACCTCTCCCCCACCTCTCCCCCATCTCTCCCCCACCTCTCCCCCACCTCTCCCCCACCTCTCCGCCACCTCTCCCCCATCTCTCCCCCACCTCTCCCCCATCCCTCCCCCATCTCTCCCCCACCTCTCCCCCACCTCTCCCCCACCTCTCCCACACCTCTCCCCCATATCTCCCCCACCTCTCCCCCACCTCTCCCCCATCCCTCCCCCACCTCTCCCCCACCTCTCCCCCATCTCTCCCCCACCTCTCCCCCACCTCTCCCCCACCTCTCCCCCACCTCTCCCCCACCTCTCCCCCATCCCTCCCCCACCTCTCCCCCACCTCTCCCCGCCGGGCAGGTCAAGCTCATGCTGACGGTGGTCGTGCTCTCGATGTTCCTCACGCCTTTCCTCAACGAGCTGGGCGAGAGACAGCCGAGAGACAGCCGAGAGACAGCCGAGAGACAGCCGAGAGACAGCCGAGAGACAGCCGAGAGACAGCCGAGAGACAGCCGAGAGACAGCCGAGAGACAGCCGAGAGCCAGCCGAGAGCTAGCCGAGAGACAGCCGAGAGACAGCCGAGAGACAGCCGAGAGACAGCCGAGAGACAGCCGAGAGCCAGTCGAGAGCCAGCCGAGAGACAGCCGAGAGACAGCCGAGAGACAGCCGAGAGACAGCCGAGAGTCAGCCCTTTTTGGACGATCTGGGTGCCCCCTCTCGTTGCTCGAGACGGCTCCGCGAGCCTCCCCCGAAGCTTCGCGGAACCTTCCCGGAACCTCCCCGGAACCTTCCCGGAACCTCCCCGCGCAGGCGCGTCCCTCTCGACGCGGCTCGAGAAGGCGCGCGGCGGGCTCGTGCTGCAGCCCGACTCCGAAGACATCGACAAGGGGGAGTACGTGCTCGTGTGCGGCTTCGGGCGCGTCGGGCAGGCAGTGTGCGAGCTGCTCACCGCAAGGCTCGTGCGCTACAAGGCCTTCGACATGGACCCGTACCGCGTCGCAGAGGCGCGCGGAGAAGAGGAGTAGTGGGGCGACTCGTGAAGGCGGGAACGGTAGTCGTAAGAACCCACCACGTGCCCTGTGTGGCCAACATGGCGAGCGAGCGAGGCCGTCCTCTCGCCCACATCTCGCCCACATCTGGGCTAACCCCCCCCCCCCACCCCGTCAACCCTTTCCCCCAAACACGCATGCACACCCATTAACCCCCTTAACGGTAGCAATTTACGTGGCTGCGTTCACAGCGATTGTAGGAAAATTGGGCTTGACGGTCGCGGCCTTCCGACTCGCGCCTCACTGGCACCATTGTAAGTACGCCGGCGACACAGCTCCAGTTGTCGAACTGACCCGCACGCCGCAGCTCCTGAGCCCTGGCTGTCAGGCTGTCAGGTGCTGTCAGGTGATCTGTCGGGCTGTCGGGCAGCTGTCAGGCATTGTCAGGTGCCTCTGTCAGACCAGCTGTCAGGTTTTGTCAGTGCTGTCGGGTGCTGTCGGGTGCGTGTCTGACAGTCGAGGTGCTCTGTAGCTGTCGGGTGCTGTCGGAGCTGTCGGGTGTTGCTGTCAGACGCTGTCGGAGCTGTCAGAGTTGTCAGGCTGCTGCTGCTGTCAGACGTTGGGCTGTTGCTGTCAGGTGCTGTCAGGTGGTGCTGTCGGGGTGCTGTCAGGCTCTGACACACACCAGCCACACTTATGACACTATCAAGAGGAGACCAGCAGGACTCTACTACACATACTCTCAGCCTCTCCTCCTACACGGCGTGATCACGCCGGCGGCGGCGGCCGCCTTGGGAGCGCATATGGCGGCGCAGGCGCAGGCGGCGGCGGCGGCACAGACGGCGGCGGCCACCCCCACCCAGACGCCGTAGGCATATGACTGTAGGGCCCCAGAAGGCTAGCTGGTAGCTTCATTTGTAGTAGCACAGCTGAGCCGCCGGTGCTAGAGAGGGGTCCCCACAGACGCGCAGAGGTGTGGGACGGGAGGGTTGAGAGAGAGACCCACGACCATCCCATGACTACATGGACATGGACCACACTCACCACTCGCTTGCTTTTTTTCGCTCCAGTCCTGCGGATCTTCAGTAGACCGGAGGGCTACGAAGCCTTCACACTCCAAGGGGCTGCCGTCGGGCTGTCGGGCAGCTGTCAGGCTGTCACGTTAGGGCCTGACAGCGACGGAGCACCTCGACTGTCAGACTCTGCTGTCAGGCTGTCAGATACGTGCTGTCAGACTGTCGGAGAAAGTGCTGTCAGCGCTGTCAGGCTGTCGGGCACTGTCAGGCGCTGTCCCACCGGGGTTTGCTGTCAGGCTGTCAGACCAGGGCTCAGCGCAGCTCCGAGCTCCTCTCAGAGCGGGAACTGCGACGAAAGTTGACTGTGGCGGTTGTCAGGAATCATCATAGTTCATACGGATCCACATGGTGGCTCTCTCATGACGGGAGAAGTAAATAAATAAATAAAAACGGACACCTCTACTAGGAGATGGGTAAAAAGGAACAGGTCCCCGCCCTGCGGTCTTTGTGCAGGGTTCTTTGTGACGGGAGAAGTAACCCAAGATCCCAACACCGAAATTACGTTACCTCGGGGCCGTCCAGTTTTGATCTCCCGACACCAATGGTGAGATCTAAAACCTGGAACCCTTTGTTCAAGGCCGACCCGAGCGCAAAGATCCTTGTCCCTCCTGGATCCTGCTCTCACCTGATGCTGCTTCCCCGCACCGCCTCTCCCTGGGAGCCCCCTTGGCCCGTAGGTGCTCCGCGCGCGCGTTCCCTCACAGCCGCGAGAGCGAGGGAGGTTGAGTGGCTGAGCCGCCTTGCGGGGCTTGAGGGGGCCGGAGTCGTGAGGCGCGGGGGTCTCGCCTCCCTCTCCCCGTGGAACGACGCCTACAAGGGGGGGTCGGGTGCACCTCACTCCACGCGCTCGGCCGGAGTCAAGGGGCGGGTGGGCCGCGTGTGTGGCTGTGCGTACGATGCCTGCAAGTGCAGATGTGGATGAGGTGCGTGTGTACGAGATTGCCTGTGGTGAGCGCGTGCGTGTGCGGGGCACCCATCGCATGTGCGGGGTTCTGTGGGGGAGTGCCTTTCACCTCCTCCGCCTGCCGCGCCGCCTCCGCCGCCGCCTCCACGGCCGCCGCCTTGGCCTTGGCAGCGCGCGACGCCGGCGACTGGCCCAGCTTGCTCGCCTGTGCACACATGCGTGGGTTAGTGTGGCGGGCTAGTGTGGGCTAGCGTCGGTCTTGCTTGCTAGCTCGGTTCGATGCTTGCGGTCCGATCCTCGCGTACGGCCCGGCGCCACCGTCGCTTGCCGCTCGCGCCTTCTTGGGCAGTCCAATCGAGCGTCGGACGGTGCCTGCTTCGGTGTCGATGACTGCCTTCGCTTGCAGATCCGCCGCCGCTGCCTCGGACCCCGCCAGCTTCTTCGCCGTCTCCACCGCCTCTGCTGCCGCCTCCGCTGCCGCCTCTGCTGCCGCCACTGCCGCCGCTGCTGCCGACGTCCGCTCGTCCACTTGCTGGGCCAGACCCGCCGCCGATGCCACGGACGCCGCCAGCTTCTCCGCCGACTCTGCCAGCTTCTCCGCCGCCGCCGCCAAGGCCTCCATCCTTTCCTTCCGAAGTTCCGCAGGATTCATCGCTCCGCTTTCTACGGGATCTTCCCCCATGAGACGTGTGTGTTTCCGAGTATCATTCCACTTCCACCTCAAGGAATTCGACCATGTGCTGCCTCCCCCGCCGGCTCGGACCAACGAACGCAAGTTGCGCAACCTGGACCCCCCTTGCACTATGCAAGCCGCGGCGGCGAAGACACCGACGGCGAAGACACCGGTAAACATGCCGAACATGATCAGGCTGTTTGGGTGAGACCCAATGTAGGGCTCCAACAACAGCCCAACGTTGCGATTCCTGAAAAAGTCGAATTCTGACGTCGGTGGAGGTGGCGCAGTTGGCGGCGGCGGCGGGCGCGGAGGGGGCGGGCTTGGCGGGGGCGGCGTCGGGGGCGGCTGGGGCGGCTGGGGCGGCGGCGGCGGCGGCGGGAGTTCGGGCGGCGGCCGTGGTGGGGGAGGAGAGGGCGGCTGTGTAGGTGGTTGCGGGGGTGGTGTCGGTGGTGGCGAAGAAGGCGGCGGAGTTCGTGGCGGCGGAGACGGCGCGGGCGGCGATGGCGGCGGATGTGATGGCGGCGGCGGGGGTGGCGGTTGATGCGGCGGTGGACGCGGCGGCTGACTTGGTGGCGGCGGCATTGGCGACGGTGGTGGTGATGGTGGCGGCAGCTTCGGTGGCAGCGAAGGCGGCTGTGGTGGATGGGGCGGGGCCGGCGGGGGAGGCGCGGGCGAATCAGCCGATGCTCGCAGCGGTGGGAACGGAGGAAGCACATAACGGTATTGCTGCGCTATCATTTGCCCGCCTGTTCTCGTTGCCAATGTTTGTGCCGGCGGCCACGCCGGATTCAGCGGTGGCGATCTGGGCAACGGCGGCGCCGATGGAATCGGCGGCGCCGATGGTGGAAACGGCGGCGCCGATGGAGGCGGTGGCACGCTGGGCGGAGGCATCGGCGGAGGCGATGGGGACGGCGGCGCTGGCGGAGGAGGCGGTGGAAACGGCGGCGCTGGCGGAGGAGGAAGTGGCGATGGAGGATGCGGAGGCGGACTCGGGTGAGAGGTCAATGGTGGTGGTGCTATCCTCCCGGATCCCCATGGCCATGTCCAGACCGCTGACACCGGATCGGCGATGCACATCATAATCAGCACCATCGCTCTTGGACTCAGCCTGTGCTTTCCAGACACGGTCATATTCCTGTGCTTTCCGGACACGGTCATCTTCCCGTTTTGGATCTGCGAGGGCGCAGGCAAGCGATGCGGCGGGCGAGCGTCAGCAGCATAAAATCGGGTGAGCATGACGTGGGTTTGTTTTGGGAGTCGCAGCACGGCGGGCACGAGCGCGCTGCAGCGCATGGAATGGGGGGCGAAGCGGGCACGCTCGCGCAAGGGCCAACAAACGCCGCATCGCGAGGGGGGCATCGCGAGGGGGGCAATCACCGGTCCAAGGCGTGCAACAACCAACACGGCGGATCTAGTCAGGCCGCGCGGAGATTTTTTCTTTTTTGAGAGCGCCTTCGTTGTTAATAATACAAACCACACACAGAGAGAGAGAGAAAACCACACGCCATGCCGCACCGCGCGCCCGCCCACCGCCCCGCCCAGGCGGGAAAGAGATGAGGAGATGGGACAGCAAAGGAGGAGCACAAGCACGTATGGGAGGGTTCAGTTGTGCGCCACGCTGCCCGGCGTTTCTCACTTTCCGGGACAGCCCCGCCCTTTCGAGGCAGGAGAGTGACGGCTACCCCGTACGCACCTGTCGCTCTACCCCGACGCCGACCGCCCATCCCCCCCTCCTCATTCCCCCCTCGAATTCTCCGGACCCCGACAAGCCGCCCGACGTTGGGCCTCTGCCCCGCACGCCCCCGCCCCTTCTGCCCCTCGCTCACACCCCGGCCCGACACGCACATACAAGACAAACCCGGCGTCCTGCTCTCAAAAGAAAAGAAAAAAAGCGAAGGAGGAGACCAGCGGGGGAGACTCCCCGCCTATGCAACACCCCAGAGAGGGGCTGCCATCGCCGAAGCTGTGCCTAAGCATAACTCCAAAACCCGCAGCGGCCCGGGGGGCCTTGGGGGCAGCCTGCCGGACCGCTGTTGCACGGGGCTAGGCACCAGAAAATGAGTGGAATTGATGAATTGGGCCGTTGTCCGTGCCTCCCCTCTATACGTCAGAGTGGGACCTACGCCGCGCCGGGTAAGGGGCGCGCCCGGTCCTCGACGGAGCCGCGCGCCCCAAACGACCCAGGCGGCGAGTAGTCGTCCTCGAACCTTCGACATGTAGTTGCCCATAGTTAGCGCCCGCCCGCCCCCCCCTCCGTCGCTTCGGCGCAGCTTGAGAACGGCGGTGGGCGAGAAGCCGCCGCCGAACGTCTTGTGGAGCAGCAGGTTGAAGTTGTTGCGCTCCAAGTGCTTGACAATGATCGCGTCGTGGTAGAAACCGCGATGCGCCTTGACGTAGCCGTGGCCGGTCTTGTGGGAGAAGGGTTGGCCGGGCTTCCGCGCGCCTTGCAGCCCATGTTTAGGCGGCGGGCCTTCTCTTCGGTGTTGCCGAAGGCGTAGGAGTGGCCAACGCGCAACGGAGGTGGGCGTGCCGCCACTCGAGGCGTTGCCAACGCCCGGTTTTGTTGTCGACTGGTGACTGTGTGTCTTCGTGGTCTCGTATATGTCTAAGAAAATTATTTTTTGTCCCTGGAGCGCAACCGCAAATGCGCTGTGGCTGCCTCCAGCATCAGGTCGCTCCACAGCTCCCTGCGAGGCTGGGCTCGGGTGATTCCACGAGGCCAACGAAGCGAATGGATCGTCGTCGTCAGCCCAACCTCTTGCGTCTTGGAGGCAAACGCGCGCAGTCCGCGGCCGGAGACGGCGGGTGGCCGGGGCTGCCGGCGGCAACACCGCGTGAGGCAACTCGCCGTGAGCTCGCGCGTCCATGCAGAGCCGAGCGCGCGCGCAATCGACGATGATGACTGCAGTCTCCTCCGTCCGCCTCTTTTGGAGCCCCTTTTTGGCACGCCGTTTCGTCGCGCATTACGCGAACATACAAATTTACATAGGAGATTTTGAGGAGTTCGGCAGAACAGACACTTTTGTCATGAGTGCGAGTTAGGGCTAGCGGCTGGCCAATAGCCTGTGAGGAGGGCGTCCATAGACACCTCACAAGACCCCACACACGGTCTCGTCCATGCCTTGCGGCTGGCGACGAGATTGCTAGAGGCGGAGCAACCCTGCTCTAGTCTCACACGTTCGCCCTGTCGCCTGTCTGTGTTGTTGTGCTGTTGTTTGTCTCTTGGCACCTTGGAGTGCTGGGGGGGGCGACAGGGGGGACGTGGCCTGAGTGATGTGTACGCCCACTCAGGATGTGTGGCAGCCCGCTGGCTGCGTGTGTGTCTTGTGAGCTTGTTTGTGTCTGTGTCGTGTGTCGCTCGTGCGTGTCGTCATCATCTGTCTAGCGTCCACCCATACCGCGTCGGTGTCCAGTCCGAGCCTGACTGTTCTTCACCTTCCTACATACATACTTTTGTCTTTTGCCAGCAGAACAGTGACTTTTTCGGGGTTGGTGAGAGCGCACGTCCCGGCCCCGGATGGAATTACGGGAATTGCGCGCTGATTGCCATCGCGCGCAATCCTGATATGCGCGCGCAATCCTGATGTGCCGTTTACGCCATATTTTGCCTGGCGTTATCACGCATTATAGCGGTTCTGGCGAAAGCCGTCACGACCAACTCTTGGTTTGCCAACAACATACCTAAAACCAACTCCTGGCTCCTGGCGGGGGGAGGAGCTGGTGGAAATCAGAGAAGAGATTTCGTTCATAGGAACAACCACCTGTGTATCGCGCGCCTTGCGGGAACCTGGACGATGAAGTGTGTGGAACTCTGTATGCATGTGCATGGTGACCAACATGGCCATCGCCACGATCGCCACGATCGCCGGCGCCATGGCCAACACTGAAGGTTTACAGTGGCATGCGCACCTCTACTTCGTCGGCATTGTGCCGCACAGCACGCATGATCAGTGGCTTGGCGAGTATGTCTTGGACGACGAGCCACACAATAGCCGGCCCATGTACTCGCTCGTGACTCCGACGCAGGAGGCCATGCGAAGCGCTCTGCGCAAGGCGCCGCGTGGCTTCGCGCCCGAAGCCGTGCTGCGGTCGCACACACTCACGGGCCAGTGGATCATCGGCACGCGCTCGCAAGTTGCCACCAATCAAGGCTGGGCCGCCGTGTACGACAATGCGAGCACGCCGTCTGACATCACGGGCGTGTGGCATGTGCACGTGGGTGGGCGAGGTTGGCTGCCCGCGCCCGCGCTGCGCATCGTCACGGGCGCGGCGGGCGAGGCCGCGGCGGTGACGCACGAGGCGCACATCCTCGCCAAGGCCGCCGCCGCGCCCACGCGCGTGCTGCTGCACGGCGCGACGCCCAACCATCTGCAGGCGGCGATGTTGGGGGAGTACGTGCGAGTGGTGGATGTGCTCTGCGACCGGCGTCCAGTCTACGAGCTCGTCGACCTCGATGTACTTGCGACCCCCGACCGGCAGCGCATCTTCCTGCGCTACTGCTCGGCCAACGGCCAGTGGATGGTGGGCACCGAGGGACACGTCGGCACCGACCTCGGCTTCATGTACGCGGCCAATGCCATGGCGTGGCATCCGGCGGACATCGCCAGCTCGACCGCGCGGAGGATTGGGAAGACGAGCGCAAGGAATATCGGCCAATGGAAGGTGATCTCGGGCCAGGTCGAGCCCCTCACTTGGCACGACGCGCCCGAGCTGCACGTGCTCGACCTCGACATCGAGGACAAACGACTCGCACGGGAGGCCGCCGAGCGCGAGGCCGAACTGCGGCGGCGCGCGCGCATGTGGTCACTGATCACGCCAGTGCTCGTCGTCGGCGCCCTCGTCCTACTGGCCTACGGCTGCCAGGAAGCACTCCGATGGGGTCGCGAGCGGCGCGAGGCGCGGGAGGCGGAGGAGCTCCGCAAGGAGAAGCGGCGGCAGAGACGCGCCGTGGACAAGGAGGTGCGACAGTTCGAGAAGTCCCTCGGGAGCTTTGGCACATGGCAGCCTCCGAGGCGGCGGTAGCGAAGGACCTAGCTCCTAGGAAAAGCGCATGTACTTGCTCTTGCAACTACCAACTTGCATGGTATACGTGATATACTCGACTTGCGGCGTGAGATCTTGAGTACAGTTCCCCGCTTGGCGAGGCCCTAGCCGCCTGCGCCTACGCGCTAGATATAGGGCTATAGAGTGTACTGTAGAGTGTAGTATAGCCCTACGCCTTACCCTACCCTACCCGCTACCGGTGTTCGGTGTGTAATGACGGATAAAGTCGTGTGAAATAGCTGCGAACGCGAAAGTCGCGAAATTAATTGCCCGCCGCAGGCGAAGAAAATTTTCAGGGGTTTTGGTCCCCTACGCCAAAGAAATAATAAGCGCCGGTGAGGCTTTGAAGCTGCCGTTTGCGGCTTCCTAAGTCAATTTCTCGAGAGGAACGTTTTGGCTGAGCTAGAACTTCTCCAAAGTCGCGCGATCATCGAGTTTTGAGTCAATAATTATGAAAGGAAAGGGAGAGGGAGAGTTCTAGCTCAGCCAATTGATTCAGCGTGCTCTGAAACGCCCAAAACCGTCGAGTTTTTTGCGGTAGGCAAAATAGAGCCCTTAATATTTGATCTTTCTTGGCCACGGCCACGATTACCCGTCACTCGCTCTAAATGAGTATAATGGTGTTCGGTGTACCGTGTCGCGTGTATATAGAATGACCGTTTAACAAGTAACGGAAACCCGGTGTACGTGTAGGTATACGCCTGATCCGAGATCCCTCTCCCCCGCGAAGCCGGATCGCTTGAGTACCGTGCATGAGAACACCGCGGGCACTCGTCCACGCTTTGAGCCGCTCCTCCGCGCCCGGACGCCGGACAGCACGTGTGGTACGGTATATATCGTATGTGCGCAGTATCGATGTACGGTATGTGCGCGGTGGTCTACATCTCATCCGTCGCGTCGCGCCCCCGTCCGCGCCGCGCGCGTCCTCTCGGGAGGTCCGTGTGGTGCCTTGTCGGCGACACGAGCTCGCCCCTAAAGCTGCTGGCGCTCGCTCCGAGCCTCCGCCCTGTGCGCCGCGGCCTCGGCCATCGTCGCGTAGATATCGGTTGTCTCGTCCGGCGAAGGGCCGTCCGTGCTGGTGTGGACGCGAGAATAGCTCCGCGGTTCATGGAGGCAACCGACGCGAGTCGACTGGTGTGTGTCGTCGTGGTTTCGTATCAAGAGTACTCACTCACACACTTACTCGAGTAGGCTACGTAGGCGAAGGTAATACTCCGGTATACAAAATGCGCCTGCGGGCGGACCCTCACAGATCACAGATCACTCACGCTCGGACTGGACACCAACGCGGTATGGGTGGACGCGAGACAGATGATGACGACACGCACGAGCAAACACAGGCACAAATCCGTGCCAGTCTGCTGTGAGAGGCGGTTCTCCATGAGTTCGAAGAATTCTTCTTCCTGGTGTGCTTATCACGGGGGGGGGGCGGGCCTCACCCGGGACTCACCCCGAGACCTCACCCCGGGACGTCGCCGGCTGCGGTGAGGCCCCACCCCCGGGGCAGTGAGGGCGCACCCGGGGACGAGCTACCCCTCCGCCCTCCGGTGCGAATCAAGCCGTGAAATGCGTTCCCTACAGCAACCCACTGCTTCAGGCAGGTGCATTGGTGCTGGCAGTCAGCCAGGGGCCGGGGTGGAGCCCTTGGAGGTCCCTGACAGCGATGTTCAAACCGGCTGGCCAGGTCGGGCAGCCCGGGGCTAGCACCGGGGTGGGGTGAGGCCCCGGGGTGGGGCAGGTGAGGGAGGGGGCGGGGACGGCCGGGCCCCGGTGAGCCCCGGGTGAGGCCCGCCCCCCCCCCCGTCCCGGGGCTACTGTGATAGTCACATGGGGCACTCGGCCGGGACCTCTTCATCGGCCAGCATCAGCGAGCTCACGCCGAGAGAGGACATACCGGTATGTCGCTGATGTGCACTGTCTTCACCACCGACCAGCACCCATTCTATATCGTCGCCGCAGACGATGCGTGGCTCGACACCTGGGGCTTTGAGTCATCGGTGTGCTGCCTGCCGCGCGACAATGCTGACCCTCGCGCAAAAACACACCGCGAGCCCAAGATCAGAAGCCCACTCACGCGGACCTCGCTTTCAGGAGGCCATCGGCAAGCCCATTTCCATCCTCAACGGCAAGGGATTCGACCCGGCCGCTGGGAAAGAGCTCTTCGCCCGCTTCCTCCAAGCGTCAACGAAGCTGACGCGCTGCATCAACGTGACAAAGGACGGGCGCCGCCTCTCGCACGACGCCGTGCTGAGCAAGCAGAACAACGGCCAGATCAAATGCCTCTCCACCAACTTTACGCTCGCCGCCCCCGCCAACCTGTGCCTGGTCGATTACTACGAGCGCGAGCGCCGCTCGTCGGCCTCGGACGCCTCGGCCGGCACGGTGCTGATTTCAGACACCATCGCTGCCGCCGTTCGCCAGCGCCTGCTCTCCGACTATTACGAGCTGGAGCGGCGCACGTCGGCGATGGATCTCGCCATCGGATCGGCCAACAAGATCCGGTACGGCGTTGACGTTACCGCGCCGATCCCCAAGCGGCTGCGGTCGGCATGAGGATGAGCACACGAAAATGCGGAGGGTGCGTGAGGGCGCGGCCGGGGCGCGAAGCGCACGCTGGCCTGCGTCGCAAGTCGCCGTCGTGGGGTGACCTTCACCGACGGGTATGCGCGCACATAGTAAGTTCGGGAAGAGAAATTTGCGCACGGAGAGCGAGATCGCGGCGCGACACCGCGTGAGGCGTGTGTCTGGCGTCTGGGAGTCTGTGTTACTGTGACATGCACGTGGGTAAAGTCAGGAGGGAAAAGACTTTGGCGGCGTTAGCACGCGCTGGCTATGCACGAGACAGAGGCGAGCTGCTATATTTTCACCCTCACACCAAAAGCACGCACAGCTCTGTCCGACCGAGGAGCGGTGCCTCTGGCTCTGCCTCCGACTCCGCCTCCAAACCCCGCCCCCGGACGCGCAGATGGAGATGCCCCTCCCGCCCCCCCGCGGAACCGACAGTACCGGTGCTCGAGGCGCCTCCGGCGACGGGCTTCAGGTGACGGGTCGTGGCGCTACCCTCAGACCCCGAGGACCGCGTTGAAGGAGACGGTGTTGCCGGAGGCGGCGGCTCAGGCGGAGGCGGCGACAGCCTTGGGTCGAAGGGAATATAAGCATACGGCTGGCGAAGAGGGCGAAGCCGGAGGGGCGACTCTCGGACCTGTCGCGGTGGCTCTCGCGGAGAGGCCGGCGGCGAAGGCAGCGGGGGCGGCGAGCCGGGCGGCGCCGGCGGCGAGAGGCGTGCTGCGAGATGCGGCGCCGGCGGCGGGGGCGAGAGGCGAGAGATTGGCGAACGCCGGGTGCGGCTTGCGGAGCGCTTAGCGTCGCTGTCGGGCAGAGCTCGCATTGCCACTGCGGAGGACGCGAGCACGGAGCCACGCAGGTCAAGGCTCGGCGCGAGCTGCGCACTGGCGGACCCTGCTGCGGCGACGGCGGCGACCATGCCGGACGCCAGGGTGAGGTCGCAGAGCACGGTGGTTCCGTCATCGTGGCGCAGGGAGGCAGGAAGCAGCGTCGACGGAATAAGCACGTTGAGGAGAAGAAGCGGCCTCTCTGCAAGCCGGAGCCGCAGTTTGCACGGTGTGGCCTCCCGCTTGCATCGCGGTCTCGCGAGCCGGCCGACTGCCACGCCGACCGCCAGGCTCAGGGCGGATGTGCACGTCAGCACGCGCAGGTCAAGGCTGGAGAGGCGCGAAAGGACGGTTTTTGCGACTCGCGAGTCGAAGACTGTTTGCATATTCGTTGGGGCCCCCGACGCCGGTGGACGACGCTGTTCACAGCCTCTCGAGGTTCTCGAGGTGGATATCCTTTGGCCGCGTTGGGTAGCGAGGATTGGTGTGACGCGATCCACAGCCTTCTGATGAGAAGAAAATACGTCCCATGGCGCTATGCGCTGGTCTGTGAGAGGTTGAGGTGCGAGCCCTGGAGGCCCTGGGGATGGAGGGAGACTACCCGCGGGCCTAGAAGGCCCGCGCGCAGGGGGGTGGGGCATTGAGACCGGTCATGAATGAGTGCGCCACACGCATGTTGCGAGCAGCGTTGTTGATGTTCTGCGCGTCGCCACAGACGGCGGCGCGCGAGAGCTGTTGCGAGTGGTGCTGGACGAAGCCCCGGGCGCTGCCAGAGGCTGTGCCGTAGTCGGTGCGGTCGACGGCGCTGCCTCGGGCTGCCGACCTCTTTAAGCGAAGTTGAGGATGATTCTCTTGGTTGGCGGCGCGATGCCGCCCTTTCGACGAGACAAATGTTGACGATTCCGTTCTTGACATGGAGCGCGTCATAGTGCTGTCCCTTGTGCTCTTTGACCCAGCCTTTGCCGGTCGCATGGACGAGCGTTCACACAAAAACACAACCCCGGACCCAAAACGCTGTTCACATATAAACGCACAACCCCGGGCCCAGATAAATTGATAAGAATGAAGAACCTACATCAGACAGTGAGGGTGTGAGAGGCGAGCCTAAGGAAGTAAGGATCCTTATAAATGTTGAACATATTGCTCCAACACTTAGAGAAGCGATCAATATCAATATATATTGCAATACTTAGAGGAGAGGCTGGGCCTGGGCTGGTCAGGACCGTCAGGTTGGACTCAACATATCAATATGGGAGCCCATCCCGGGCTTGAAAATGGCTCTAAATCGTTAAAAACGGGCCAAAATCGCTTAAATCGCATAAAAATCGCTTTGAACTCGTGATTTTTTCGATTTCAGCCCACATCTAGGCGATGTTTGGGACAAATGTCGACATTTGGTGCTCTTGGAGGTTAAAATCAGCGATCAATATGTCAATATATTGTCAATACTTAGAGATGAGGCTGACAATACTCAATATCAATACTTAGAGGGGCGAGAATCAACATTTATAATGATCCTTATAAGGAAGGCCCTACGAGCTACGTCTCTTTAACACCCCTGACCAAGCTCCCGCTCGACAGAGTTCACAGAGACGCGAGTGGTGGTCGAAGCTCCGCCGCTAGACAGCCCTCTCCTTCACCCTCGTCCAGGGGGCTACAACGCTGTCTTAAGGTCCGACAGGAGAGGTCCGGCACCGGGCACCGCCTCGGTATACAAAATGCGCCTGCGGGCGGACCCCTTCAGATCACACAAAAACACAACCCCGGACCCAACACGCTCAAGCACAGACAGTCGAGAAGGGAGAGGCAGCAACGACAGTCAGAAGCCAGCGCTGGGTACCAGGGAAGGCGAATGCGATGACGGCCTCTAGAGTGTGCTCTAGCTAGTGAGCTCATAGTTACGCACGCCGGCAGATCGCGGCTATATACAGCTAGTTAGGAGCCGACCGACCCTCGCGTCCGGTGCTCATCGACCGGGCGGGCCACCCGCCCACGCGCCGCCTACGCGCAGCGCGTGCGCCGCAAACTCGCTCGCCGAGAGCGCCGGCCAGTCGCCATCGGCCGTCGCGAGAGGCCTGCCCGGCTGTCGCCGCGGGGCCCCCACGAACACCACGCGTCGGAGGCGGTGCCGCGCGAACTCGCGCGCAAAGTGCACGCCCCACGCCCGCCGCAGCGTCGTAGCGAAGTAGGACCGCGCCTCCCTCGCGCTACGCGCGCCGATCCGCCTCCAGTGCTGCTTGGATGCCGACTCCACCACAGTCGAACAGCTGGTGCAGGTCGTCCGACGCCTCCGCGTAGGCCCCGACAACGAGGCTGCGCACGGTGCCAAACGAGCGCAGCACGGAGGACACGGCGTCCCTCGAGCCGTTGTTCCATGCCTGCACGTGCGGCTTGGCATCGAGCGCCGCCGCCCGCGCCTCGTAGTCGCGCTGGACACAGGCTCGCCCTGTCGGCGACAGCGCCGCCCTGGCCATCGTCGCGCGCCCGAGCGCTCATGTAGTGAGGCCCGCCGCGGTGGATGGTCTTGCCCTCGAGAAGCTAGGTGCTCCGCCGGCGGCTGCTCGGGCCCGCGCTGCACTGCCGTGCCGCGCCACCGGACAGACGGATGCGCCTGGCCTCGCGTGCCCGTGCAGCGTGCCGTGCGGGACTCGCGCAGCTTGCTTGCAGTGCAGGCGCCAATCCGGCACGATGCCGTTCTTGCCGCGCGTGCCAGCTGTGCCGTTGAGTGTGACAGGCGGGATGAAACGGCGCTGAAGATCTCGCGCGGCTCCTCCTTGCCGCGCAGCCCCGCGTGCAGCGCATCACCGATCACGCGTGACTGAGAAGATGTCATCGTGGCAGTTGCCGTGGGCGCGGTCGTTGAGCGTCGCCAAGCCCAGCTGGACAAGCCAAAGCGCACAAAGAGGCATCGCGCAGAGACTCGAGGAGGGCCGCGCCCGGAGCAGGCGATATGTTCTTCACACTTCAGATCACACAGATGACTGATGACTGTCAGATGTTCAGATCACACTTCACTCTTCACAGAGACCTGTCCCTGTGCTGTTATAGTTATTGACATATGACAAATAATTATAATTTATATTGAGAAGACCGAAAAGAAGGCAGCATCGTCCCGCTCCCGGGAGTTTCCGGCGGCGTATAAAAGGAAAAGCGCAGGGGGTCCCGGGCCCCGCGGCTGCCGCGCGCGCTCTCATTACCACACGCGCGCTCTCTCAACCGCTCACCGTGGCGCGAGCGCGAGGGGAGAGCCCGCTTTTGGCGAGCGCGCCCCCCTCGTCACACTAAAGTAGCTCAGCAACGAGCCGCCGCTCCCGGCGCGCGCGCCCTTCTCGCCACCCCCTCGCCCCTCTCCCGCCGTCACCCTCGCCGCACACTTCTTGGGCGGTGGCGTCCCGCGCGGACCGCCGCCCGCCGCCGCCGCAGTTGCCGCGAGGTCTGACGCCGCCGGAAGCCGCAACTCCTCTCGAGCCCTCCGAGCGGCGCACCCATCCTTCTTGCCTGCGCGGCGAACTGCCGGCGCGCCGCCGCCCGCGCCGCCGCCGGCGCCGCCGCCCGCGCCGCCGCCGCCCGCGCCGCCGCCCGCGCCGCCGCCCGCGCGCCGAGCCTTTGGAGGAAACGGCGCCGGCGGAGGAGGCGCCTGTGGAATGCTTCTCCGTGAATGAACAACTCTTCCTTACTACCCGCAACTCGCGGGCGGTACCGCCTGTGGCGCGTCTCGCTGCACCGCGCCGGCCTGGAGGAGCCGCAGCGTGCGTGGCGACGCAAAGGGCGCAAACACGGCCGCGGTGTAACACACACTACGCCCTCTTTCGTAAGGGTGTTTTTTGTTAACAATTTCTACGGGCTAGCGATGTCGCAGTACATGCGCACTAGTTTGTGCCCTGGAACAGGACGAACATGGCCGCGGCCCCTCACTGTCTTTCGATATTGCTCGCACACCCACTCGTGCGCGCTCTTACACATGTGTCCGTACGTCCGTCGGTCCACTATCTCCCTCTTCTCTGCGTTCTCTGCCGCCTCCCTTCGCACCGTGTACATGCATGGCCGCGTCCTGTGTGCTGTGAGAGAGAGTGGGTGTAAATTCTTTTTTCGCGAGGTTAGCCTCCGCCACCGACGAGACGGCGATGGCCGCGAGGCGGCGGCTGAGGCTCGCGACTATTCTACTGGTGGCCTCGCGAGCGGCTGCGCTGGCGACGCCGGCCACGCGATCGCTCTCGCCGCCCGCTCACCGCTTTGCGCCGCCGCCGCTCCGCACCGCGGGTCCGCTTTTGTGCAGCGGCGCAGGCGGCGTCAGCAGCAAAGGCGACGCTGCAGAGCATCCACCAGACTGGGGTGGGCGGCCGCGGGGACTGGGGCCACGCGGGTGGCCCAGCAGAGCGGCTGCAGTCCGAGCGGCACGGCTTCGCCGCCGCTGGCTACTGCAGCTCGAGCGGGCGGGCGGGTGGCTTAGCGCGATGGCGGCGGCGGCCTCCCGCAGCGCGGCGAGTGCACGTGTGGCGCTCGTGGCGGTGCTGCTGATGGCGTGCACGAGTCGCGGCCCGCTCGCGGACCGGCTGGCCGAGCCGGCGGGCGGGGGAGCTCCACCCTCCACCATGCAGCGGCTCGTTCAATCTCGCGGCGCCGAGGTACAGCCGAGAGATCGAGAGGTCGCCGAGAGGCCGCCGAGAGACCGCCGAGACGGTACTAGACTTGCACTACACTGCACGACACCACGACTCTGCTCAAACATCACCTCCTCTCACAGGAGCGGGTGAGGGTTCGCTTCGGCGGCGGCGGCGGCCGCACCTCTGCCGCCGCCACCGCTCTTGCGAGGACGGCGGAAGCGCCGAGCGGCTTGGTGGGGCGCAGCGCCAGCGCGGTGGCGCAGACGTGGCGGGAGGTGCGGGAGCACGCTTGCCCGGCAGAGCGCGGGGCACGATGAGTGAGCGAGGGAGCGAGTGAATTGAACTAGGTGCGCGAGCACGCCTCGCCGGCAGAGCGGGATACGATGGTGCTCCTCGCAACCGCCGCGCTGGTGACGCCGATCATGGGCACCCTCAACCTCTCGCCCGTCCTCGGCTTCCTCTTCGCCGGCATCCTCCTCGGCCGGTACCGGCCCGCGCGCCACTTCTCTTCCTGTTGTCCGAATGCGTTTCTGGCTTAGGCATCCTCCTCGGGCCGACCGGCCTCGGCGTTGTGTCGGATGTCGCCACCACGACCAAGCTCGCCGCGCTAGACGGGCAAGACGGGGAAGACGCCCACTGCGCCGCACTGCACGGACTCACTGCGCGCGTGCACTGTGCTCACACACTTGAGCACTCATTGAGCACACACACGCCCGGGGCGGCGCCAGGTGCACTCCCCCCCCCTTCCCCTCCCCTCCCCTCCCCTCTCCTCTCCTCCCCTCCCCTCCCGCCGCAGGCTCGCGGAGTTCGGCGTCGTCTTCTTCCTCTTCGAGATGGGGCTGGAGCTCGAGTTGGAGAGGCTCCAGATTCCCCGAGATGGCCCCGAGATGACCTAGGGATGACCTCGAGATGACCTAGGGATGACCCGAGATGACCCGAGGTGACCTCGAGATGACCCGAGATGACTCCGAGATGACCTCGAGATGACCCGAGATGACTCCGAGATGACCTCGAGATGATCCCGAGATGACCCGAGATGACCTCGAGGTGACCTCGAGATGACCTCGAGATGACCTCGAGATGACCTCGAGATGACCCGAGATGACCCGAGATGACCTCGAGCTGACCTCGAGATGACCTTGAGCTGACCTCGAGATGACGCGAGATGACTAGAGATGAGCCGAGAGACCTCAAGATGAGCAGCGCACTCGCGCTGTGTGCTAGGCTAAAGTCGGTGGGGCGCGACGCCTTTCGGCTCGGGGGCGCACAGTTCGCGCTCACCTCTCTGGTCTTCGGCGCCGTCGCCACCGCGTTCGGCGCCTCGGGGCCGGCGGCCGTCGTCTTGGGCGGCGGCCTCGCGCTCTCCTCCTCGGCCTTCGTGATCCAGCTGCTGTCGGAGAAGGGGGAGCTCGCCACCCGCTTCGGCCGCGCCTCCTTCGGCATCTTGCTCTTCCAGGACATCGCCGTATATCTCCCCCACATCTCCCCCACATCTCCCCCCCCCACCTCCGGCATCTTTCTCTTCCAGGACATCGCCGTCGTCCCCCTCCTCGTCGTCACGCCGCTTCTCGGTGGCTCATCCGGCGCAGCCCTCGGCGCCGCCCTTCGCGTCGCCGCTATCAAGAGCGCCTCGGCCCTCGCAATCATCTTCCTCACCGGGCGGCTGCTGCTCCAGCGCGCTTTTCAGCTCGTCGCGTCGGCGCGCGACCAGACCGCCTTCTTGCCGCCGTCACCGTCAGCGTGCATCGTGATGTCCACAGCCTCCCAGCCCCCCTCCAGCTCAGTCCCCTTCCCGCTGCTTGATCCAACCCTTGGCCCTCTGATGTCCGGTGCAGCACATGTACTCTTGGTGTGTGTGCTGTGGACCCTCCTTGTCTCTGCAGTAGACCGTGTGAGGTAACACCTACCTACCCACCTACCTACCTCCCCAGCCCTCCTCCGCCTCCTGCTCCTACGCTCGTGCACCTCTCCTCCTCCTCCCTCTGATCTGCCATTGCTGCCGTGGCCAGGCGCGCGACCAGACCGCCTTCCTCGCAATCACGCTGCTGACGGTGCTCTCGATGTCAGCCTTCACGCAAGCGCTGGGCTTGTCCGACACCCTCGGCGCCGTCCTTGCCGGCGAACCGCCGGGCCTTTCTCGGACGCCTTCTCGGATGCCCTCTCGGAGCTCTGCCTGAAGGCGCGTTCCTCGCCGGGGTGCTGCTGGCCGAGTCGAAGTACCGGTACCAGATCGAGGCGGACATCGCCCCCTTCCGCGGCCTCCTCCTCGGCCTCGTTGTTCATGGCCCACCGGCTTCTCCATCGACTTGCCCCCCCACTGACCAGCTCGCTGCTGACCTGCTGCTTAGGCCTCTTCTTCGTGACCACCGGCTTCTCCATCGACCTGCCCCCCCCCACTGACCAGCTCGCTGCTGGTCTGCTGCTTAGGCCTCTTCTTCGTGACCACCGGCTTCTCCATCGACTTGCCCCCCCACTGACCAGCTCGCTGCTGGTCTGCTGCTTAGGCCTCTTCTTCGTGACCACCGGCTTCTCCATCGACCTGCCCCTCGCCCTCGCCTCCGCGCCCGCTGTCGTAGGACTCGCGCTCGCCCTGCACCTCTCCAAGACGGCGATCGTCGCCGCTATCTGCACCGCCAACCAGATGAAGCCCGCCGCCGCGCTTCGCTCGGGCACTGCTCATCTCGCGGCCACGGCGACGTCTCGTCCACGGGCGGCGCCTTCATCCCGCCGCTGTCTGTGCTAGGCCTGCTGCTCTCGCAGGGCGGCGAGTTCGCATTCGTCATCTTTGGCCTGGCGCAGACGCACGGCATCCTCCCTGTTGGGCAGGTCGAGCTCACCCCCATATCTCCCCCATATCTCCCCCATATCTCCCCCATATCTCCCCCATATCTCCCCCACCTCTCCCCCACCTCTCCCCCACCTCTCCCCCATCTCTCCGCCACCTCTCCCCCACCTCTCCCCCACCTCTCCCCCATCTCTCCCCCACCTCTCCCCCACCTCTCCCCCACCTCTCCCCCACCTCTCCCCCATATCTCCCCCACCTCTCCCCCACCTCTCCCCCATCCCTCCCCCACCTCTCCCCCACCTCTCCCCCATCTCTCCCCCACCTCTCCCCCACCTCTCCCCCACCTCTCCCCCACCTCTGCCCCACCTCTGCCCCACCTCTCGCCCACCTCTACCCCATCCCTCCCCCACCTCTCCCCCACCTCTCCCCGCCGGGCAGGTCAAGCTCATGCTGACGGTGGTCGTGCTCTCGATGTTCCTCACGCCTTTCCTCAACGAGCTGGGCGAGAGACAGCCGAGAGACAGCCGAGAGACAGCCGAGAGACAGCCGAGAGACAGCCGAGAGACAGCCGAGAGACAGCCGAGAGACAGCCGAGAGCCAGCCGAGAGACAGCCGAGAGACAGCCGAGAGACAGCCGAGAGACAGCCGAGAGACAGCCGAGAGACAGCCGAGAGCCAGTCGAGAGCCAGCCGAGAGACAGCCGAGAGACAGCCGAGAGACAGCCGAGAGTCAGCCCTTTTTGGACGATCTGGGTGCCCCCTCTCGTTGCTCGAGACGGCTCCGCGAGCCTCCCCCGAAGCTTCGCGGAACCTTCCCGGAACCTCCCCGGAACCTTCCCGGAACCTCCCCGCGCAGGCGCGTCCCTCTCGACGCGGCTCGAGAAGGCGCGCGGCGGGCTCGTGCTGCAGCCCGACTCCGAAGACATCGACAAGGGGGAGTACGTGCTCGTGTGCGGCTTCGGGCGCGTCGGGCAGGCAGTGTGCGAGCTGCTCACCGCAAGGCTCGTGCGCTACAAGGCCTTCGACATGGACCCGTACCGCGTCGCAGAGGCGCGCGGAGAAGAGGAGTAGTGGGGCGACTCGTGAAGGCGGGAACGGTAGTCGTAAGAACCCACCACGTGCCCTGTGTGGCCAACATGGCGTGCGAGCGAGGCCGTCCTCTCGCCCACATCTCGCCCACATCTCGGCTAACCCCCCCCCCCCTCTCTCTAGGCGCGCGAGCTTGGCCTGCCCGTCTTCTACGGCGACGCGTGCCGGCCGGACGTGTTGCGCTCCTTCAACCTCACGGCGAGAGGTGTGAACAGCGCCTCTTCACACCCCCTGCTGTGAACAGGTGCTTCGCTCCTTCATGTCGGACGAGGCTCAGCTGACGTCGGTCGTCGTGACGCTGGACGACGAGCGCTCCTGCACCAAGGCGGTGCGAGCGCTCCGCCGCCAGTACCCCACCGCTACCGACATGCCCATCTTTGTGCGTGCCGTCAACGAGCAGCACCGCCGCAAGCTGGCCGCCTCCTCGGCGACGGCCCTCGAGACGGGGCCCGAGGAGTCGGCGCTGATGCTCGGCGGCGCGCTGCTCGCGTCGCTCGGGACTCCCAAGCAGGAGCAGCGGGCCCTAGACGCGGAATATCTCCCCGTATCTCCCCCCGTATCTCCCCATATCTCGTGAGCAGGAGGTCCTCTCGCTGATCGACGACATGCGCGCGTCCATGTTCACCGACCGCATGTCCGTCATTCGGGACTCGTTTGTCGAGCGCAAGCCGCGCGGCAAGAAGAAGGCCGCCAAGGAGAAGCGGCCTGAGGGGGGCGTCGTTGACGTGGCCGCCGCCGTCGTGCCCCCCGCAGCAGCAGAGGGCGAGCCGCCCCCGGCGGAGCCGGCCGCGGGGGCGTAGTCCCGACACCGGCGCTGCCGCCGCTCGCGGTGAGGCGCGTATGCGCGGCGATGCGGCGCGTCTCCTGGAGTTGGACGTGGGGCGGCGACGCGCGGAGGAGGAGACGAGGCCTTTTTCTCCCGGCAGTGACAATGCTCATTGGTGGCACACGCGCCTTTGCGGCGCCCACGAGCACCTGCTCGAGGAGACGCACGCTGCGGGAGGCGATGGACCAACTGGAAAACAGTCAGAGTTCGCGTTAGTTTTGTCGGTGGTTGATCTTGTCGTACACACACACGCCGTTGGTTTGCATTCTGGGTAATAAAACAACAACGAACACGCACGATTAGGGGCAAACACTGAAAACGTAACTTGATCGGGGCGCGGTTTTTTTTGGACTAGACTGCTCAGGGGAGGTGGGCGAGTGATTGGGTAGCTTTGGGGCCACCGAAAATAATGAGAACCGCCCCCTATATCTCGCCAAATCTCGATTTTTCGCGGGAATGGGGGCTTCTCAGCCCCGCGCGAGCTACAGTGACTCCCCAGGGCTTGTCCCGTGGCCCAAAGTGGTACCCCGAGCTCCGCCACGAGCGTGGTCAATCAGGAGACACCCACAGTCACGGCGGGCGAGGAGTTGGGTGACGGCCAACTGTCGATTACGGCGCCTCTGGAGCCTCCTGTATCGTCGGTTCGGCTCGAAGATCGTGCCGCATCCGCATGTAAACCACCTCCGCGCCCCCGCTGGCACATGTCCGCATTGCCCGAGCCTGGGAGAAGTTCCCAGTGCCCGGAGGCTGCACAGGTCCGCGAAACGCTGGCGCTGCAGCTCCCGGCGCGCACCCCAGATTCGCGAGGAAAACAGCCGAAAACGGGTCGCGCCGCGATCGACCCTCAGCGAGCCCAGGCGAGCCTGGTAATCCCACCCGGTGGTAAGCGCACGTCCTCCGCGTAATCTAGCGCGCTGTGCAGCCCGCCAGTGCATGGCGCCGACCTGGGCCGACTGGTCGATCTCGCCGCGATCTCGCCATCCAATTCTCGGTCAGGTGTAGTGGATCACCTTAAAATCCTGGATTAATTCCTGAGCCCACCTGGCCCCACCAGACGGGTGGCACGAGGCGCCCGGGCCACTTTTTAGCGCCTCCCGATCCTCCCGGCGCCTCCTGTGGCCTCCTGGACCCTCTCCCCCGCAGCCTCTCTCGGCGACGTGGGGAGCGGCTGCCGTCCACGGCTCGCACCGGCTCTTCCAGCGGCTCCACGCTTGCCGCCTGTGACGCCCGCGCCACGCACTGCCACGCGGCCGCTCGAGAGAGCGGTCGACGCCCATACTGCTGGGTGTGGCGCTCTATCGGTCGACGCTTCGGCGTCGCTGCTTGGTTGGGGACCCGTGCCTCGACGCGGCGGCGCGGCCGAGTTCGGCTCGGTGGAACAGCGCGTCGCCACGGATGAGATGCGGCCACAAGCGGCTGGGGAAGCTCCAAGAATGTTTCGTTTACTTGCAGGAGAGGCCCAAGCAATTCGGGTGACTGCATGGCTCTTCGCGTCGAGGGATGCGTCCAAGATATGAGTTGCTTCATTGAAAGCGCCGTGTCTTGCGGCATATTCCGGGTCATCGATCCACGTGATGTGACAAACTAGCCGCTATTAATGAATATGGGAATCTTATCTAGTTAAGGCAACCCGAGCGACAACTCACGCGCTTGGCGTGTGTGTGCCTGCTGCTTTAGCGGATCATATCCCCTCCGTTTTGTGGTAACGCGGAATATGAGCATATAAAGTACACAACACACATACCACGGTCCGTCTGCATCCTCGGCCATCTACCGCCGTATCGCATCACCCTATGTGTTCGCTGTCCACTGCATGTGTGTGCCGCAGAGTCAACGTGCATTGCGCCGTGGGCGCGCCTCGCGCGCCTGTGGCGCCGCCTCATCAGCCGCCACGCCTGCTGCGGTTGCCCCGCGCTTCTTCGGCGCCCCGCGCTTCTTCGGCGCCCCGCGCTGCCTCGGCGCCGCCGCCGCCGCCGCCGCCGCCGCCGCCTCCGCCTCCACCTCCACCTCCACCTCCATCTCCTCGTCCTCCGCCGCCGCCGCCGGCGGCGGCGCATCCAGGCGCACCTCTCGGACAGTCCTCGGACAAGCCACAACGCGGGTGGCTCGGGAGGTCGGTTAGGCGGAAGTTGGCGGCCATGTGCAGATAATTGGTATCTGGCGTCCGCACCAGCTTTGGCCCTTCGAAGCCGCAGTACCTGCAAGATGAAGATGGGTGAAGCGTTGCCTGTTGCGGAACTAATGTTGCGATGGGCCGTGTGTAGTCAAAAGAGTGGCCGGGCAGTGCGGAGCGCACTTGGGCGCGACGCTGACACCGCCTGGCGGCGACCAGCCTCCGTTCTCCTTGCCGCCCGTCGCGCCGACCCAGCCCATCGCCATGTTCGGGCAGTGCGCGCCCGAGCTCCCGCTCGACTGTATGCCGCGCAGGATGCCGCCTGGCTCCGGCCCGATGACCCAGTTGTCCTTGGAGAGGTCGGTCATGTAGTAGAGGTACTCGCCGCTCTCAATGAACTCGTCGTTGGCGTTCATCTTTTGCCGGTAGACGGGCCGGAAGTGCTGCGACGGAGCGAGGGGGGAGGAGGGGTCAGCCTCGACGCGCGAGCGCCGCGCGTTGGTGAATACTTGGTTGAATGGGAGGGAGGCGAGCCGGGGGGGGCCTCGAGGTGCTCAGTGCGCTCGTACACGCCCATTCGGCTCGTCTGGTTCCCCTTCATGTCCGAGAACGAACCAGACGTGGCGTTGAAGCTGGGCAGCTCCGCTGCAGTGACCATAACGTGTGTCGGGCACTCGGGCTGCTTGTACGGCTCGAGGAGCCGCCACCAGAGCTCATGAAGCGGAAGCCGCTGCACGTACTGCTCGTGCAGCGGCGCGCCAGCGCCGACGTAGGGCATCCTTGCAGGGCGTATTCGCGCAGCGCGCCGGGACCGGGTCGCCACCTCCTTTTGTTGGGGTTTTTGGGGTTCGTCCGGGTGCTTCGGAATTTCCACAATTTCTCCCTCGACCACACATACATACATACATACGCTTGGCAGAGCGACCCTTTTTGCCGCGCGTTTTCCATGGCGGGCAGCATCGGAATGCTTGCCCGCCCGGCGCCGCGCCCGCGAGAGGCTGCGGCGCCACCGAGCAGGCTGACGCCGCCGACGGAGGCTCTAGCTCCGTCGTCGGCGGCAGCTCGCTCTGCGGCTACTCCGCGGAGAGCAGCCGCGTGCAAAAGCGCTGAGCAACTGCCAGATGCAGCGCCTGCTGAGCTGCTGCCTCTGCTGCCGGCGCCGCTGTACTGCTGCGCGGCACCCGAGCCCGGCTGCTGCTGCTGCTGCCCGCAGCCGTTCTGCTCGCTGCCGTGCTCGCTGCCTCAGCTCGGCGGCTCGCTGCCTCAGCTCGGCGGCTCGCTGCCTCAGCTCGGCGGCTCGCTGCCTCAGCTCGGCGGCTCGCTGCCTCAGCTCGGCGGCTCGCTGCCTCAGCTCGGCGGCTCGCTGCCTCAGCTCGGCGGCTCGCTGCCTCAGCTCGGCGGCTCCATGCCTCAGCTCGGCGGCTCGCTGCCTCAGCTCGGCGGCTCGCTGCCTCAGCTCGGCGGCTCGCTGCCTCAGCTCGGCGGCTCGCTGCCTCAGCTCGGCGGCTCGCTGCCTCAGCTCGGCGGCTCGCTGCCTCAGCTCGGCGGCTCGCTGCCTCAGCTCGGCGGCTCGCTGCCTCAGCTCGGCGGCCCGCTGCCTCAGCTCGGCGGCCCGCTGCCTCAGCTCGGCGGCTCGCTGCCTCAGCTCGGCGGCTCGCTCGCTGCCTCTCTGCTCGGCGGCTCGCTGCCTCTCTGCTCGCTGCCTCTCTGCTCGCTGCCGCCGCCCGCCTGCCACCTCCTTGTCCTCTCGGGCCTTGCGGGCGAGGGCGACGCGCCACGAGCAGCGCGGCGCTGTCGGGGACGGCGACTTCAGGCCGAGCGACGGCGGCGGCTATGTGGCGTACAAGAAGGCGGACTACGCGCACGCCCTCTCGCGCTCGGACACCGACGTGCAGATGTACCTGTTTGAAACCTTCGGCGGGTGGTGCAACGCGGTCAAACGGCTGTTCTACCAGATGAAGGACAAGGTGCGCAACAAGCTCTCGAAGCGGCAGCACGAGGACGAGGCGAGCTGGTCGACGCGGTCGTGGCTGTCGCTGCAGGCCCAGCGCATGTCAGTCGCGCTGCAGCTCGCGCTCCTCGGCCACCCACGCCGGACGGAAGCCTTCGTTGCGAGTGCGCTGCGCATGTACACCCCGGCCGTGGACGGACTGCCCGGGAACGACGACGCGGGGCAGATGTCAGCGTGGTATCTGCTCGTGCGCCTCGGCCTCTTCCCTGTGGATCCTCTCTCGCCGCGCATGCTGCGGCTGCGATTCGAGGACCGGGCTCTCAGTGTGCGCTCGTTCAGGGTGAGCCCGATGGCGCATAGCGAGAGGCTGCGCTGGCTCATCGTATGACCAGCTCTTCGCTTGCCGCGGTCAGGGACAGGGTCTAGTGAGACATGGCTACCATTCTCCCGGCCCCCCCCGGAGAGGTGCCTCGCTAGACGCTATGCGTACCGAACACGCCCACAGCCCCACAGCCCCACGGCCCCCACAAGAGGGCCGCGAGCGCCAGGCGCGTGCATATCGAACTCACGAACTGCAAACTGTACTCCACACGATACTCTGCACAGATGAAATAAAAGAACCCTGCGCCAAGCTAGTGCTCCTGCACAAAGATCGCACGGGCGGGAAGCCTCGAGTCGAGAGATGGCGCTAGCGCGCAGCTCTGCCTCGCCGCGCCGCTGACCAGACGGCGACGGAGAGGTGCCTCGAGACGAGAGGCGGCGGCGGCGCGACGGGGTTGGTAGGGGGGTGGGGAGGCTGCCGTGTGCGCTGCGCGTGCGCGCACCGCACACCATACGGCGGGAAACAGACGGCGATGGGGGCGCGGCGGCAGCGGCGCAGCGCGCGCGACGGAGGGGCGGAGCAGCGACATCAGTTCTGTCCCGGAGCGCCGTCTGCGCGGGGTGCGCGTCAGGAGAGGGGGCAAGCGTGGCGGCGCGGGACGCGCGGCGGCGCCGGCGAGCAGCCGAGCGCTCCGTGCGCGGTGAGGCAGCCGGGCGACGAGAGGTAGGAGGTGTTTGCGACGGCCGGCGAGCGCTCCCGCGCTTGCGGAGGGGCAAGGCCTGAGGGCGGGCGGGCGGGCGGGCGCGCGCACGCGCCGGGGGGGGGAGGGGGGGGGATAAACGCTGCGCCGCCCCCGCACCAGCGACACTATCATGTAACTTATTCGGACCCCCCCTTCGCGCTTCTCGTTTTTCGTACAGTCCGCCGACTAAATGATTTTCGGCCGGCCGCAGGTCGGGCTGGACGCGGCTGTTTCGGCCGGCGGTCGGGGTCGGACACCAGCTTTGTCGGCGCGTCAGCGCCGACGAAAATTTGGGGAGATTTTCTTATACTCCCGAGCTCCCGACTCCCAGTTACCCGACCTCCGTGTGGGTTTTGTCAAACGAGATTGAATCTTGGAATCTGCTGATTTTCTCCTTGACGTTCCCTGGTGTGGAGGGGGTGGAGGGCGGCGGCGGCGTGGGCGGTACGGCGGCACGGCGGTAACGGACGGCAGGGGGGGCGGCGGGCTAAACGGCAAGGGCGGCGCGGCACGGAGGAAGGAGCGGCACGGCATAGGGAGGAGCAAGGACGGCGCGGTAACGCGTAACGGCAGGATCACGGATAGGCGTGGCACGGATAGGAGCGAGCGAGCGGCTAGGTGGCGGGAGGGCGAGGCGAGGGTGGCGGCGGGTGGATCACGAGGAGGTAGAAGGTCTGGCGCGAGCGGGGGAGCGAACGGCGAGCGAGCGGCTAGGCGGCGGGGGGTGAGGGTGGCGGCGGGTTGATCACGAGGAGGTAGAAGGTCGAGCGCGAACGTGCGAGCGAGCGGCAGGCGAGCGGCTAGGCGTCGGGAGGGCGAGGCGAGGGTGGCGGCGGTGGATCACGAGGAAGTAGAAGGTCGAGCGCGAACGTGCGAGCGAGCGGCGAGCGAGCGACTAGACGGCGGGAGGGTGAGGCGAGGGTGGCTGTGGTGGATCGTGAGGAAGTAGGAGGTCGAGCGCGAGCGAGCGAGCGAACGGCGAGATGGATAACGAGGAAGTAGAAAGTCGGGAGTGGGCGAGCGAACGGCGAGCGAGAGCGGCGAGGCGGCGGGAGGGTGAGGCGAGGGTGGTGGCGGTTCGGATCACGAGGAAGTAGCGGGCGAGCGAGCAGCTTCGCCGCTTCATCATGTCGCGCTGGGTCAGCGCGTTGTCCTGGCGCAGATCTTTTGCCCCCGAGCCGCGTGTGGGACCCTTGGATGAGGCGGCACAGGCGCCACCGGACGAGCGAGAGAAGCTCCGCGTGGCAGCTCGTGAGGTGCTTTCAGCGGCCCTGTCCGTAGCGGCCGTCATGGTTGGCGCGGCGTCGGGGCTCGCCCTAGCGGCCGTCATCATCTACTCCCGCTTGCATGCCAGCACCTCTCCGACGTGGTCGAGACGGGCGCCACGAGGCAGCTTGCTGCTCGTCAGCCCAAACTGCACGACAACACTCGCCGCTATTTCGCGCGTCGATCAGGTGGAGCCGAACGTCGAGTCTGTGGACCCAGCGGCTGCTTGGTTCGACGTGCTAGCCCGTCCGGACACGTCCGGGCACGACTCGACGCGTGCGCAATCATTCCCGGCCAGCGCCGATCCTTTCATTGGATCCGCCGGCGTGGGACACACGAATCCGGGCGCCCACCTGCCGTTTGGCATGGCGTACCTCGCGCCCGTGAGCAGCACGCTGGGGGATTGGGATCACTGCGCTGGCTATCAGCACGCGGATCGTTCGTTCGTCGGGCTGGCACACACCGCGCTCACGGGGACTGGCATTCGCTCTGGGCTCGCCTTCCTGGTTGCCGCGAGCTGCGACGCCGATGCGCAGGTAGCCGCATCGCGTGAGATCATCGCCGAGTCCGCTGAGCCCGGCTACTACTCTGTCGAGACCGCGGACATGCGCGTGCAGGCCACCGCCGGCGTCCGCTACGGCGTGCACCGCTGGCGCTTTGCGCCTGGCTGTCAGAGGCCGTCGCTGCGGCTGGCGCGGCACGACTTCCGCGAACTGCTTCCTTCGCGGCGATACTGGGAGGAGATGGGCGGGCGCGGAGCAATCATCGACCGACGCTCGTGCTCGGGGTTGCTCTGCAGAGTCTACGCTTTGGAGAAGCTAAAGACGTGGTTCACCCGCGAGATCCCGGTAGAGGTACACGCTTACATGGAGGCGCGCCTGCTCGGCCGCGATTGCAACTGGTCCTCTGCTCGTTGGCCCGAAAACAGCCTGGTCGCTCTCGAAAGCCAAGCGGGCCACTACAGTGGCGGTGCAGCGCGTGGGGTGCGATGCGCGGTGGAGCTCCGTGCAGCGTTGAGCTACGTTGACGCCGCCGGCGCCGCCCGCAACTTTGCGGCGGAGAACCGCAGCTTTGCCAAGGTGCGGGGGCGCGCCAAGCGCACGTGGCAAGGCGTCTTCGGCAAGCTTCGCCTCGACCACGGCCTTGACTCCAATCAGTCCGCCTTAGACGACAAGAGATCAGGTGACAAGAGGTCAGGCGACCAGAGAAGAGTGGTCGACGACACTGCGCTCTATCACGCGTTCCTCTCGCCCTATCTACACAGCGACGCAGACGGCCGGGTGCTCGGCCCGCTGGGCAAGGTGCGGCGCGTCAATTTCCCCTACTACACCTTCCTGTCGTCGTGGGACGTCTTCCGCAGCTGGTCTCACCTGATGGCACTCGTGCACCCCCAGATACTGGTCGACATCGCCCGCACCGCCCTGCTGCACCACGAGATCGTCGGTGTGCCGCCACGGTGGACGGATGGCGGCAGAGAGCTATCCCTCATGCCTGGCATCCACGGCGCCACCCTCCTCTACCAGGCCGCCGTGCTCACCCGCCTCTGCGACCCTCCTCTCGTCCGCCGCATCTTCGCCGCGCTCTCCAGCCTCGCCCACGAGCCGCCGGCCGTTTCGCTCGAGCAGCGTGTGCATGCAATGGCGCGGCCGGGTCACACGCAGCTGTGGGCAGAGCCGCCAGAGCTGAAGCTCCGTCACTTCCTGAGGCACGGCGGTATCGTGCCGTACGACCCTGCCGCGCCGCAGCACGACCAGACCGTGTCGGACGCGCTCGAGCTCTCCCTTCTCTTTGCGTGCACCGAGCGGCTCGCGCGCAGACTCAACGAGACGCGCGACGTCGCCCTCTACCGAAGGCTCTCACGGGCGTGGACGAGGCACGTCGAGGTCTGCGGCGGGCTCTTCAGCCGCGTGCTCGCCAACGGCTCGCGCATCGTGAACGAGAGGCCCGCGGACGCGAGGGCGCACATGGGCTTCACAGAGGACTCTGCGCTCGCTTGGTCGTTCTATGCGCCTCACGACCTTGCGGGGCTCGTGGCTCTCTTCGGGAAGGCAGCGCTCGTGCGGCGAATGGACTCGTTGCTGCTGCCCGGGCCTGGCGCTCGTCGCGTCGTCGACATTGTCGACCACACTGGCCTAATCGGCTCCCTGGCGCACGGCAACGAAGTCACACATCACCTCCTCTTCTGGTACGCGCTCCTCGGCCACCCACGCCGGACGGAAGCCTTCGTTGCGAGTGCGCTGCGCATGTACACCCCGGCCGTGGACGGACTGCCCGGGAACGACGACGCGGGGCAGATGTCAGCGTGGTATCTGCTCGTGCGCCTCGGCCTCTTCCCTGTGGATCCTCTCTCGCCGCGCATGCTGCGGCTGCGATTCGAGGACCGGGCTCTCAGTGTGCGCTCGTTCAGGGTGAGCCCGATGGCGCATAGCGAGAGGCTGCGCTGGCTCATCGTATGACCAGCTCTTCGCTTGCCGCGGTCAGGGACAGGGTCTAGTGAGACATGGCTACCATTCTCCCGGCCCCCCCCGGAGAGGTGCCTCGCTAGACGCTATGCGTACCGAACACGCCCACAGCCCCACAGCCCCACGGCCCCCACAAGAGGGCCGCGAGCGCCAGGCGCGTGCATATCGAACTCACGAACTGCAAACTGTACTCCACACGATACTCTGCACAGATGAAATAAAAGAACCCTGCGCCAAGCTAGTGCTCCTGCACAAAGATCGCACGGGCGGGAAGCCTCGAGTCGAGAGATGGCGCTAGCGCGCAGCTCTGCCTCGCCGCGCCGCTGACCAGACGGCGACGGAGAGGTGCCTCGAGACGAGAGGCGGCGGCGGCGCGACGGGGTTGGTAGGGGGGTGGGGAGGCTGCCGTGTGCGCTGCGCGTGCGCGCACCGCACACCATACGGCGGGAAACAGACGGCGATGGGGGCGCGGCGGCAGCGGCGCAGCGCGCGCGACGGAGGGGCGGAGCAGCGACATCAGTTCTGTCCCGGAGCGCCGTCTGCGCGGGGTGCGCGTCAGGAGAGGGGGCAAGCGTGGCGGCGCGGGACGCGCGGCGGCGCCGGCGAGCAGCCGAGCGCTCCGTGCGCGGTGAGGCAGCCGGGCGACGAGAGGTAGGAGGTGTTTGCGACGGCCGGCGAGCGCTCCCGCGCTTGCGGAGGGGCAAGGCCTGAGGGCGGGCGGGCGGGCGGGCGCGCGCACGCGCCGGGGGGGGGAGGGGGGGGGATAAACGCTGCGCCGCCCCCGCACCAGCGACACTATCATGTAACTTATTCGGACCCCCCCTTCGCGCTTCTCGTTTTTCGTACAAGTCCGCCGACTAAATGATTTTCGGCCGGCCGCAGGTCGGGCTGGACGCGGCTGTTTCGGCCGGCGGTCGGGGTCGGACACCAGCTTTGTCGGCGCGTCAGCGCCGACGAAAATTTGGGGAGATTTTCTTATACTCCCGAGCTCCCGACTCCCAGTTACCCGACCTCCGTGTGGGTTTTGTCAAACGAGATTGAATCTTGGAATCTGCTGATTTTCTCCTTGACGTTCCCTTCTCGCTTCTGGCTCGCCGCGCTCGCTGTACCTAGCGGCCGTGACTCACCTGCTTCGGGCGCGCTGCTCCTCGGGGATGGTGAGAAGCGGCACAGGTGATGCTCATAGCTGAGCTAGCCCCAGATGCCCCGTTTGCCCCACTGCGGCGCCGCGCTCGTGCCGGCGTGCAAGTGGGTACAATGCACCCCGTTGTAGGGATGTGGCGCGAGAGTGAACATCTCGCGCCTGGTCGCCTCGCTATAAAGAGCTAGCACTGTCTGCGCAGCCTGTAGGGCAGCATCGGCGTTCTTTTTGATCCGATGGTGCTTCCACTGATTGCACCGCGCCTCGCTGTGCCTTCTCGGAGCCGGGTGGAAGCGGCGGCCTTCCGATGGGACGCGTCCAAAGTGACCCATCCTGCAGCACATGACGACCGCCCATCGCGTGTGCAAGCGTGATCACGCGCTGCTGCACTAGCTGCTGCTGCTGCACTGGCTGCTGCTGCACCTGCGCCTGGGCGTGTGTGGAACCCTGCCACCGCGGGTGCGGCCGCGGCCGCAGTGGTCTAGGCGGACAATGATGATGCCGCGCGGGCGGAGGCGGACGCGAGGACGCTGCCGTCGGACAAGGGGTTGCTATCATACACAAGCACGAGCCGTCGGTGACGCGACGGCGTCATCACCGTTGGCCAGCTGCTAAGCGCGAAAACCTGCCCGTGTGTCGGATGCGTCCCCAACTTGTAGCGCTACATCTTTGGACACACACCGGCGGGCGCTTTCGAGGGCATTTTTTCTAACCACATGGACCTATTTTGCGGCAGCGATAGCTGGGCACCTGCGCTGCAACATACACAGACATACACTCGACTGCAACGGCGCGCAGCGCCGAAGAAAATTTTGGTTGTCGAGCGGCGGCCGGTGTGGACGCCGTTGTTTCGCAGCTCGGTCGGGGGGGGGGGCGTCCTGCGTTTCCCTGCGGTCGGTCGAAAATCATTTAGTCGGCGGACTTGTACCAACCCAGCGCCGATCTCGGCCGTCATTCTCCGCTCGCGCCGGCCGCCCATGCGCTCGCGGGGCTCCCCGACGGGGCGGGCCTCGTGCTGATGGACCCAGCCAGCCGAGGTGCCCAACCAGTTGGAGTCGCGCCGACGCGCTGCGCGCGACCACCAGCCAGCTTTTCAGCGCGGTCGAGGACGGTGCGCCGAAAGAGTAGACAGTCTCCGGTCCATCCGGAATTTTGTCGTTTTAGTTAGCACTGCTGCTGCAGACAGGGCCCGCGTGACCCCATGCCCTTCCCGGATCCAGCTCGCTGATGGCTGTCAGCCCGCCCCGGTGGGCCCCGTGCCGGCCGTGGCGTGCCCCGACCCCCCGACCCCCGTCGCCCGTGGCGCGGCCGTCGTGACAGGAGTCAGGCCGCGCGGCTTTGCGAGCGGGGGCAAGTCTGGCTTGGCGGCACAAACTCGGGAGCCCTTCCTCTTGATGTAGTCCGGGCAGTGGTGGTGGTGATTGCGCCTGCAATACGCCGAGTCGAGAGAGATGAAAGGCGGCGCCCGGCCTAGCCGACCAAGAGCCATGTCGTAGGCCAGCAGGAGCAGAGCGGAGCGGAAGCTGCCCACATAGTAGTCGCACGACCCCAAGCCCATGACGTCGACTTGCACCGCCTCGAGTTGCGTCTCGTTGAAGCGCGTCTTCTCCACAGCCGCGTGAGCTTTCCTGTTGAGGCTTGTGGTCGCTCGAAAGGCCTCACGGCCGCCTTGTTGCATCGCGATCTCAAAGCCACGCCTCTTGGCGTCCGCGAGCGTTTCTGCACTGGCGATGCTCGGGTCGTCCGTTGCGAGAAAAACGTTGGTGACGCCGTAGAGTTCGCGCATCCGATCCATGGCCTCCAAGTAGTCCGACCACGGGAAGCACCGTCGCGGGCCGCCGCCGCCGCCGCCGTTGATGCTGCCGCAGGAGTCACCGTGGCGCACGTGCACGCCCATGCACCGCGATCCAATAATGCGCCCCGCATTCGCGGCAAACGCAGCCCGCAGGGTCGGCTGCGGTGCAAGCAGCAGGTTGGCGACCGCCCCGGCGAGGGCCATTGCGCCGTATTGTTCATAAAACCACAAGCCGTGTTGTTGTGGGTGGACAGAGCGATTCAAGCCGGGCGTGTGGGCAAAGTGGAGCCATTGTCCTCGAGTCGCATCGCAGCCGTCCGCCGCGTCCCACTCTGTCAGGCCCGGCTGAGCGCGCCATTGGCCGTGGGCATAGCCCGGCTGTTCGCATCCGCGACTGCTGCTGACGTTTGCAGGATCGCATCGCCTGCAGCCCAGCTTAAACCCGGGTCGGCAGTGACAGGTGCCCTCGCTGACTGAGTAGACGCCTGCATCCGCGCCACCGCATGCGTCCTCTACGCGCATTGGTAGCGTTCTGGCACTCGAGTGCACGACCAGTGCGCCGTGCAACTCGTCAATGGAGCAGCTGTCTATGGAGAGCTCGTGCGCCGGTCGAAGCAAGCAGCTCCAGCGGGCGTCACTGCTGCAGCGTGAATCTGCAAACACCCAAGGCGAGGACGGCACGTGCACGGCGGTGCCGACAATCCAGCTGCGCCACAGGCCGTCGATGAAGAGCATGACGCTGCCACCCAACCCGTAGCCAGGGAGGCGAAGCGAGTATCGCGGCGCAGAGCAGTCGGCCTGCACCGCCCTGAAGGCAGCATGCAGCGCCTTCTCGTCACGTTTGGGCCACAGCCGCGGGAACGTTTGCCAGTCTGCGCTCGGCAGGTACGTCTGATTCGTCCAGCCGGCTTCGCGCTCACAATGGTCGGGAGTCGTCTGCAAATCAGGCCAGACGCAGCTAGTAGTTTGCATGTGAGCCGTGTGCTCCACGCTGAGGAGTGACGGTAGACCATTTGTAGACGAGTCTACCGCCCAGTCTACCGGCAGACCGCAATGAACCTACGACCGCAGTCTACCGGTAGACCGTAATTAACTTGAGCACTTGAGCACTGGATAGGGTCGATTCCGCATGGTACGGGACCCCTCGATCGTCTCGCCCTCCCTCACTGGAGTGTTCATTGGGTGGGGTCATAACAAACACGGTACAGGATCGAGGTGCACACGCTGCCGAAGCAGTGTCGTCCCCCCTCTCCCCGACGGCGATGGCGGTGTGACCGATCGAGCTACAAGAGGAGCTTGTTCAGCATGATCAGGGTGGGCGGAGCAGTGCCCCACTTCCTCAATGGGTGGGCTTCAGACCTCCAGACACGCGAACCCATCACCTTCGGCCTGTGTGGATTCGAACCACGGCCGGGATGGAATGGTAATTAACTAACCTACGACTGCAGTAGTCTACCGGTAGACTTGGTAGACCGCGGTTAACCCTTTTTTCAGCCGCCGAACGGTAGACCGCGCGATGGCCACCTCGATCGTCCGTCCGGCGAGAACGCGCGACGAAAGCGCGGTCTGCCGCGCGGGCAAAATCTGCCGGTGATAGAGCTGTTGAGTGCGGTCGCTGTGGGCTTCACCTCATCGCCATCTCCGTGCGAGGCGCGCCCCGTGTCTTTTATGAGATCAAATAAGCGTCTTTGCACACTCAGCGGGCGGCACCGCTCACTCACTGCAGAGCGCCGCCCTCTCGCGGCTCTCGACGTGCGAGTTTGGCGCTAGTTGGCGCCGCTCGACTGCAGCTGGGTTGGGGCCTCTGTTCATGTCACGCGCAAGTTTTGGCTGGCCTTGAGGCTAAAATACCGCCGAACATTACCAAGACATCCAGCATCGTTTCCTTATCTAGATATGCGACTGTTGTTAGGTAGGTAGGTAAAAGGTGAAGAACAGCCAGGCTCGGACTGGACACCAACAATTTGCCCGGGGCGCGGGTTGTCTGCGTGTAATACGTACGCCGCGGCGCATGCTGCTGGCGCTTCGCGGGCTGAGGCGTGCGACGCCGCCGTGAGGGCGGTGAGGTTGGACGAGGTTGAGGCTCAGTCCTCGTTCCTCGTGCGCGCTGGGTGGTACGGCTCCGGCCGTGATGGGGGCGGGGAGGGGGAGGGGGCGACGGCCGCACGGAATCGCCGCCGGCGGGGGGCGAGGGCGCGGGCGAAGGAGGAGGAGCCAGAGCCCGGGGAGGATTGGGAGGGGGAGGAGCGGCCGGAGGAGTACGCCGGCCTCTTTGACGACCCGTAAGGGGCCGTCGCCTGCTGTGCCATTTGTAGTGCCAGTCCGAGCCAGTCTGCTGTGAGAGGGCTTCCATCGTAAAATACTTTTCATCAGCACTCTCGCTTGCAACAACTCGGCGGCGCAGCAAGCGCGACGGCATACACCCAACAAGGATCCCATAGCGGCCAGAGCTAGCCCGGATGATTGAGCCGCCCACAAAACCGCCCGGCAAGCAAAGAAAGCAGCCGTCGACGTCCGGCGGCAAGCCTTCATTGCCCATGCCCGACTATGACTTTGTTGCGTGGAGACGAGGAGACGGGTGTGGCAGTGGCGGTGGTGGAGGCGGAGCAGACGCGCTGCAGCACGATGCACCTTGCCACCTTCGTCACGATTTGCCACTGCCAGCAGGTGGCGGCGGCGGAGGCGGTAGCGGCGGCGGTGGAGGCGGCGGTGGTGGTGGCGCAGGCGCGGCGACACACTCCGCTCCACGCACAGCAGACAGCCGACCGAAAAGCCGAGACACACGGGATTGCTGGGTATAATCCCCCTCTCTTCACCTCAGCCTCGCCTCGATGCGCCTTTCCTCGCTTCGTTCGCATCTCTCTCACGGTTCTCTCTGCGAACGGGCCTTCTAGGCCTGCTGGCACATTCTCCCCCCATCCCAACTACGAGGTATTCTTTTCTCAATAACAAGGTCTGTGGACAGGCGGCGGCGGTGGCGGCGGTGGCGGTGGAGGCGGAGGAGGTGCAGGTGCGGCGGGAGGTGGTGGCGGCGGCTACGGCGTGCTGGACTGCTCTTGGTATCGCGGCGACTATTACCCGATCGCCAACCAGTTCCTCGTCGTGCTGGACACGATGTACCCCGCCGAGCTCTGGGCAAGCGAGTACGAGGCGGACTGGAAGCACACCACCGAGGGCGACGCCGCCGTCCTCCCGAACCACTTCTCGCACCTCGCTTCGATCCACAGGGTGCCCGCCCCTCCCCCCTCTCTCCCCTTCTCTCGCCCTCTCTCCCCTCTCTCCCCCCCTCTCCCCCCCCTCTCCCCCTCTCTCTCCCCCTCTCTCCCCACCTCTCCCCCTCTCCCCCCCCCTCTCCCCATAGGTGCTCAACGCCGTCGTCGTCCGCGCGAGCTGGCCCGTCGTCGAGGAGATTCTGGAGGACGGCCGCGTCGCCCGGCTAGCTGTGAACAGCGTCTCTTCACACCTCCCGCCGTGTGAACAGGAGATTCTGGAGGACGGCCGCGTCACCCGCACCGGATTCGACTGCGACCTCCACGCCGATGTCCGCATGAGCTTCGAGGAGCCGCCGCCGCCGCCGCCGCTCTCGCCGCCGCACGATGGCCGGCGGCTGCAGCGGAGTTGGCTCGACAGCCGGCTCGGCACCGCTCTCCGCAGCGGGCTCGTCCCTCTAGCTGTGAGCAGCGTCTCTTCATACCTCCCGCTGTGAACAGGCACCGCTCTCCGCAGCGGGCTCGTCCGCACCGGCCTTGCCGATGCGGTCGGCGGTGGGGACGACACTCTGTTCAAGGCGGTGGGCGTGAACAGCGTCTCTTCACACCCACTGCTGTGAATAGGTGGGGACGACACTCTGTTCAAGGCGGTGGGCGTGAACAGCGTCTCTTCACACCCACTGCTGTGAATAGGTGGGGACGACACTCTGTTCAAGGCGGTGGGCGGGACAGCAGCAGAGGCGGAGGACGCCGTGCGCGTGCAGGTGGCTGCGCCTGGCGACGCCCCTCTCCCATGGCATCTGGACCGGCTGCCTCGACGGAGGAGACTCGACGGTCTCTGAATGGAGCAGGAACCAGTTCTTCGTTAGGCACCTGGACCGGCTCGACGGGGGAAACTCGTCGACGCCGCTCGACGGCGAGTACGCCTTCAACGCAGCGGCGGGAGGCACATGCAAGTGTAGAACCCCGGGGGGAGAGAGGAGACACGGCCGGGTAGCCATGCATGCCCGCACTGACGCGCCCCTATTATGTGAGGCGTGCACGTACCGATGCGACCACAGTAGCGGATCCTAGCCACTTCCCTAGGCGGCGTGCGGGTCTACGTGCTCGACACGGGCATTGCGCGGCACGACGACCTCGCGGCACGGCTCTCCACCGGCGGCTTCCCCGACAGCACAGCGCACGACTCGCTCAGCGCCCTCGTCGGGGATCGCTACGACCCAGCGCGGTGGCATGCCGGCGGCGTGTTCGATCCGTCGCCCGCGCGCGGCGCACACGGCACGCACGTCGCGTCGGCGATCGCGGGCAGCCGCCACGGCACGTGGCCGCGATCTCCCCCCATCTCCGCCCTGTGATCTCCCCCACCCCTAACCCACAGGCACGCACTACGGCGTGGCCAAGTCGGCGACGGTGGTGCCGGTGCAGGTGCTGGAGAACCTGCCGGGTGCCGCTAGAGCGACGGGTCCGATGTCGCTGCTGCTGCTGGCGCTGGACTGGGTGAGCTCGCGGACTGCCTCTCGTCCCTCTAGCTGTGAACAGCGTCTCTTCACACCTCCCGCTGTGAACAGGTGCTCGCGGACTGCCTCTCGTCAGGTGTGTGTCTCGCGCCTTGCAGGGGGGGAGCGGAAAGGAGGAACCTCTTCCCAAGAGCGCCACTCTTGGAGCGCCGCCACCACCACCCAGAGCGCTGCAAGCAGCGCCGGGCGATGACGGCTTACCGCCCACCCAGCGGCTCTCGGCACACCCCGGCAGGCCAGCGCTGCATCCTCAACCTCTCTTTTGGCGGCCGGTTCAGCGGCGACCTTCTCGGCTGGTTCTCGATCCCCGAGTCGGCGCTGTCGGCGCTCGAGGTGTGGCGGGCAGCCCTCGCGGTGGCGGCGAGAGATCCCCGGGAGATTGCCCGAGATTGCCCGAGATTAGGGGGCTGGCGTCCTCGTCGTGGCGGCGGCCGGCAACGACGGCGGCGCCGCGTGCACCTTCTACCCCGCCGCGTCACGCGCGGGCCTCGCGGTCGGCGCCGTGACCGAGCCGGACGAGGAGGAGGAGGGCGCCTCCCACCTCGCCCCTTTCACCAACTTTGGCTGCTGCTCGGACGTGTTTGCGCCCGGCGTCGCCGTGCGGGCGGCCGCCTCCGCCTCGCCCAACGCAACCTCGCCCGCCTCGGGCACCTCCCCCGCCGCCGCCCTCGCCTCCGGAGTGGCCGCGCTGCTCTGGTCCGAGCAGCCGGCGGCGAGCGCCGACCAGCTGTACACCGCCGTCCTCTGCATGGCCGCCACCGACGTCGTCGCTGACGTCTGCCCGTGCGGCGGCAGCGTGTGCGCCGCCGGCTCCCAAGCGTGCATCGCCTCGCCGATCGCAAACTTAACCCGTGCGCGCATCGCGGGGGAGGCCAGCTGGAGGGCGAGCTTTGGCGCCGACGGGGACGCCGAGGTGCGCTGGCGGAGGAGAGAATGGGAGAGGGTGGGAGTGGGAGAGAACGAGCGAGGGGGGGGAGAGGGAGGCGGGGGGGGGGGGGGAGGGAGGGAGAGGGTAAAAAAGAGAGAGAGAGAGAGAGAGAGAGAGAGAGAGAGAGAGAGAGAGAGAGAGAGAGAGATAGCTCCCCATGCCCGGTGGGCTCATACCCTACCACTAGCTGGATCACGCGCGCAGGGCGACTAGGCGCTGGGAGGGAGGGAGTGGGGTGCACACCCACGGCACCGGGGCGGATGCCGGTGCTTGCACTTTGAATGCCGTGGGGCTCCGGTCATTAGACGTGGAGACGCGAGGGACTAGCCTGGCCCTTGCCCCACCACCGCCTCGTGTGTGTGTGGAGAAGTTTACCCTTACCTTACCTTAGGCGCTGGCGGACGCGCTCTCCACACCGAACCGGATGCTCTTCAGCGGGGCGGGGCTCGCAGCGCACAGCTCTCCGCTCCGCCACTACCGGCAGTGCCTCGGCTTTGAGCGGGCCGTGTGGGGCTACAAGCCGTGCCTCGCGCCGGCGCGCTCCAACGCCTCAAACGCGACGCAAGTCTCCGGGAACGGGACGGCGGCTGGCTTTGAGTGCGCGGACGCCGAGAGCCTCTTTGGTCGTCCTCTCTCGAACGGCTCTGCTGGCGGGGGCAGCGGGCACGACAGCTCGCTCCTCGGCGCGCCGCTGCCGTACCAGGTCGTGCAAGCCGAGAGGCCGTTTGGTGGCTCGTCGGACCCGCTGTGGCCGCAGCCGTTCTACTACCGCCGGCTCAACTCGACGTGGGTCTGGGCGGGAGACTGCGAGTCTGCAATCAGCACCGGGCCGCCGAGCTCGAATCTCCCCCCATCTCTGCCCACATCTCCCCATAGGCGAGTCGGCAATCGAGCATTGGGCCGCCGAGCTCGCCGTGCCGCGCGCTGCTCTCTGCTCCGCCAACCTCTCTCTCGCCGTCCAGCTCCTCGAGGCCGACCTCCAGAGCGCTGCTCTCGGCGACCATGGCGGCGGGGCGGCGCTGGGGGTCGTGCCCCCCTCCCCGCTCGCTGGAGTGTGGCAGGGAGTGCGGCAGGCTCTCCTGGGGCGGAGGCGGAGAAGGCTGGCCGACGACCGGTTCGACGCGAGGGCCACAAACTCCTCCTCCTCCGCCGCCGCCCCATGGGAAGGGCTGCCCCTCGCTGACGGCCTCTCCCCCGCCTCGCCCCTCGGCGCCGCGTGCGCGCTCACCTGCTCGCAAGTGGGCGCCGGGCCGTGTGTGCCAGGCTGGGAGCCACACCCTGTGACGGAGGTGGGGGGCTGCCACCCGGCGGGCTCGCCGCCGAGGAGGCGCCTCTTCCTCTCCCCGTCTCTCGCCACTCTCTCCCCATCTCTCACCATAGGCGGGATCGACCCTGGAGGGGGAGGGCGGCGCGAGGCTGCCCATCGAGACCGCCCCCGTCGGAACCCTCATCCGCACGCCCACCGGCTTCGAGCCCATCCTCGGCTACCTGCACGCCGAGGTCTAACCCTAACCCTAACCCTAACCCTAACCCTAACCCTAACCCTAACCCTAACCCTAACCCTAACCCTAACCCTAACCCTAACCCTCGGCTACCTGCACGCCGAGGACTCGCCGGCGACGTACCTCCGCTTCTCGACGTCGAGCGGCGAGGCGGTCTCCATCAGCAAGCTGCACCACCTCCTCGTCAACGGCGCCTCCGCCGACCCGCTCGACGTGCGGCTGGGCGACGTGCTGCAGACGCCGCGAGGAGGAGCCGCCGTCACGCGCATCGAGGCGGTGCAGGCGCGCGGCGCGTACCACCTCTTTGTGCGCGGAGGCACCTACTACGTGGACGGCATCGCCGCGACCGACTACGTGGCCCTCGTGCCCGCCGCCGCGTGGCCGGCCGTGCGGGCCTACGTCGGCGCGCGCTTCCGGCTCGGCGCGCCCATCGTGCCCGTCGGTAGAGGCCTCTTCCCCAACCACGCGTGGGCGGTCAGCCTGCTCTCCTGGCTCGGTGTGCCGCTGGCGCTCTCGCGCGGCCTCTTCCCGGTCACGATGGCGTGCGGGATCGGCACCGAGCTGGTCAACGCGCTGGCAGCGTGGGCGTGTTCATTCTCTTTGCTCGGCTGTGAGTGAATGCGCCTTAATAAATAAATAAAAACGGACACCTCTCTACTGTGAGATGGGTAAAAAGGAACAGGCCCCCGCCCTTGCGATCTTTGTGCAGGGTTCTTTGTGGGTGTGGTCGGCGACTAGCCGGGGTCGTCCTCCCGATGGGGGGCTAGCACTAGCCGTCTTCCACATGGTCCCTCGGGTCCCTGCTGCTCCTAATCTCTTCGTACATCCTCCTGCTGATCTCCGCAAAGTCCTGCTCCCTCCCTCGTCTCGCCCTGCGCGTCTGCTGCGCCTCACCGTCTTCTGCCCTGCGTCGTCTGGCGACGGGTCCTCCATAGTCGGTCGAGGTCGCCGCCCTCCTCGTGCCTCTTCCCAACGTTCCCTCGGCGGCCTGAATGCGCCTGGCCGCGTTTATTTTGTAAAAAATCTCTGACTTGCCAAGCAACGGTATCTACCGGTTCTGGCGCGCACTGGGCAGGCTTGGTGAGTTCCCTCTCCTCACTGTTCCTCACTCACCGCTCGCTTGCTTTTTTTTCGCTCCAGCCCTCCGGCTTACATAGTAGACCGGAGGCGGCTACGAAGCCTTCCACACTCCAAGCACCAAGGCCCCGTTGCCACAGGGGCTGCTCGCGACTACGGCTTTATACCCCCCGCGCGAGGACGTCTCTCCCGCGAGGACACCTCCGCTTCCCCGTGTGAGGACCTCTCTGGGACAGAGCCTCTGCGCTTCAGGAGTGCCGATGGGACGCTACTTGCTCGCCGCGTAAAGCCGTACTGGTGGTGTCGCTTTATTCCTCGTCCCTAGAAAGCCATGCGCACGGCGAGTGAATCTCGATGGGTCGGACAAAGAACAATCACCCACGGCGCCACTCGCTCAAGAACCCGTCCACAAAGCTCCGCACCCCTTCGCGCTCCCTGTAGAAGATAATGAGCGAGTACCGCACACCGCTGCGCATTCGGGTGACGCCGTGGAGGAGCCCCTTGGCGTGCACGGTCACCTCGCCCTCCTCCCGCTCCACAAGCTGCACAGCGTTAGCAAAGAGGCCCAACAGCCGTCCGCCCTCATGGCAGCAATCACCTTGAGTCGGATAGTGCTCGAGCTTAGCGTAGACGGAGTGTGCATGTGAGAGGCGGCTGTCAGGCGCGCGCGGGGCACCTGCGAGTGCCACGTTGGCAGTGAGCGGAGGCACGTCGTGGTGGAACATAAACCAAGGCCTCGTGTCCGCTGTGTATCGCCTCACGAACACTGAGGAGACGCGTAGAGCGCTCGCACGTCCTCCCAGCCCCTTGGCGCGAGGTTTCAAGCGAGCGAATTCCGTAGGCAGCTGTTTCAGCCGCGTGACCGCTTCATGGCCAATCAAACTTGTCAAGGCGTCCAGGTCTCGAAAGTCTAGCTGGTGCTCTGCAAGGCCGTCCACGCTGTCGGGACTACTGCCAGCGGCCTTGTCTACTGCGGCTCGCAGCGCAGCGCAGCTTCCATGGTCAAGTATTGACTGCCGACGCAGCAGCGCACTGTCCTCAGAAAGGGAGAGTGAGGCTACAGCTTCTCGAAACTGATCTTCCGCGAAATGTAGAGAATGAACCACGGCTCCAGCAGGCACAGAGGAAGGTGGCGCGTTGTGCGCTAGGAGCCGGCGTACTGGCATTTCCATTGCCAGCGCCTGTGAGACATATTTGTCATTCTCGCGTCCACACCACACCTGGCTCCAACGTGGACACGCCCATAGCTCTCACACACACGAATTGCTGGTCGTGAGGAAGGAAAGAAGAATTTAAACAAAACAACTCTCTCACAGGTAGGTAGGTAGGTAGAAAGGTGAAGAACAGCCAGGCTCGGACTGGACACCAACGCGGTATGGGTGGACGCTAGACAGATGATGACGGCACGCACGAGCGACACACAGACACAAACAGGCTCACAAGACACACAGCCAGCGGGCTGCCACACACCCTGAGTTGGCGTACACATAACTCAAGGCCATATCCTCCCTGTCGCCCCCCCCAGCACTCCACGGTGCCAAGAGAAACAAACAAGGGCACAACGACACAACAGACGACAGGAAGTGACATGCGAGGCTAGAGCAGGCTTGCTCTACCTCCAGCAATCTCTCCGGCCGGCGAGGCACGGACGAGACCGTGTGTGGGGTCTAAGTGAGGTGTCTATGGACGCTCTCCTCACGGGCTAGCTGCCTACTGCTAGCCCTGTCTCGCACTCACAGGCAGTGACAATTCAATGGGTGAGTGTTTGCGAGCAGAGGCGCGTGGGCTAAATCTAGGCCGCACGTCGTGGCACTATGACGAAGTTAGACGTGCGGCCGCAGCGCGCCCGCCCCAGGCGCGGCGGTGCGCGCGTGTTAGCGAGAAAGTTGCGGGGAGAGCCATGCCCGACTTTCCGAAGGTGAGGCCTCTGCGACGAGTGCCAGCCGCGCTGCGGAGCCACACCCTTCGAGCCGCGTCCCGTCGGCACTGCCCCTGAGTGTGTCCCGCCTTGGCGGCATACACTCTCGACGAGGACAGTCCTGCCTACGGGAACGTGTCGCGCGCCGGCGACGGTTGCGGCGTGGTGGTTTCGAGTACGACGCGAAGATGGCACGACCACCGCCCTGCATTGCAGACCGGGCAAGGAGGGGCCTGCTCCCGTTCCGCGAGGAACAGGAGGTCTCCCCCCCTCCCCCGGCCTGAGCAGCCACGGTGGAAGGCAGCCCCTTGAGTCGAGGGCGGCGCGACCATTGCGCCGACTCAAAGACCAGCTAGCTGGCCCGTTCAGTACAGATGGTCTCGCCGCCCCGCTCCGCGCCGCCCGCCGCCGCGCCGCGCCGCCGCCTCGCGCTCACAGGCTCGACAGGAAAAAAGAAATCTGTGCAACTGCACCCCTCTGATCTTGGAGCACTTGGAGGAGTGCAGTCAGTAACTCACATCCAGGGCCGGGAGCTGATTCGTAGCTTTCATCGATGCGTGCGGTACGCTCCAAGGCTTGCGGGGACGGTTTCTGCTATCCGTACCATCGCGTAGCTACCGCCGAGGAGAGCTACCACCTGGCAGTAGTCGTGGCTCTCTGCCTCACTTTCTCGGCAGCGCTGCTGGCGCCTCGCCTTGTGGCTGCTGCACTGCACTCAAGCTTGACCGCGCGGGCTCCTCAAAATTTAGTCACGATTGCGCTGACGGGTGGGCCTTGTGCAGGCAAAACCTCCGCACTGACAGCGCTTGAGGCCAGTGCAAAGTCCGCCGGGTTCCACCTGATGGTCACCACGGAGATAGCGACGCTTATGAGGGCGGGCGGCTGCGACGAGGCCATCACTCCGGCGCTTGCGTTTCAGACCTCGCTCGTCCGGCTGCAGGTTTAGTAGTAGTAGTAGTAGTACGAGAAGAAAAGCACCGCCCGGCGCGCCTCGTCCGCCGCTCGCTCTGCCTTCCGCCTGCTTGCCGCCTGCTCGCGCTTTCACACCCCCTTGGCCTCCATGAGAACACACGGACGGAACCGGCTCTGAGCCGAATGTCCTGCTGCAGGTCCAACTCGAGGACGCTCTGGCCGCCGTCGGCGCAGCGACGGATCTGCCTACGATCCTCATCACCGACCGTGGCGCGATGGACGCCAAGTCCTACATGTCCCCGCATACATGGAGTGCGGTGCTCGAGGCCATCGGCGCCACGGAAGAGAGCCTCTTGAGCCGATACGACGGGGTGATCCACCTTGTCACCGCCGCGGATGGGGCGCCACAGTCCTACAAATGGGGCAACGTGACGGACGACTCCGGGCATTGGGTGTATCGCAAGGAATCGCCCGAGGAGGCCATCGTCACTGACCGCAGGACACAGGTGCAAATGACTCTCCCTCTGCGTACCTGAATACGCCACTCAAATGGTTTGTTTTCAGTCTTGATTTGCGCGAGCAGGCGGCGTGGGCTGCGCATCCGCGCCGCGTCATCATCCCGAATGCCGGCTCGTTCTCGAACAAGACGAAGCATGCGGCCATGGCGATGCTGATGATCGCCCACGAAACCCATCCAGGGCTGGCCTCGGCGCGGTAGTAAAATGACACCCCAAGGGAGGGGTGGGAGAACGGCACGCCGCCACCGCGCCAGCCTCTGCGATATGGCCGTGTGCAGAACGAGTTGAGATACGTAGCTTCTGTGCAGCGTGCCCTAGCCCTAGCGCCGCCTAGCCAAGCCTGACACAGAGCACACTGAAGCACACCGCAAGTGCTGAAGCTCGCGCGAGCCATGCCCCATGCGTGCACCGGTGTTTATCATCGTGATCAACCTGTTGACACTGTTCCGTGCGACCCTTAAATCCACTTTGACTTACTCTCTCTCAACTTACGGCTTTATTTCAAGAAAAAAAACCAAGAGAGTAGTAGGAAGGCGGGAGAATCCAAAAAAGAAAACCGAGAAAAATCCGTTCTTCGTCTCTAAATCCTGCGATTCTTGACTGCGGATGCAGAGCTCGTGCCACAGAAACACAAGGACCGTGCCTCGAGTGCAGCAGCCCGGCCATCGGGCGACGAACGGCACGGGGAGCCGCCCCGGTCCTCTCGGTCCTCTCCTCAGGACAGACGGCCCTTTGAGTCGGCGGGCGGCGCGGCGCCGCTGCCCAGAGTGGCGCCGGTGCGCAAGTTGGTCCCTCCGACGGTGCGTCCTCGCGAGTAAAAGCCGCCGGGGTCGGGCAGGCCCACCAGCCCGCACTTGACCTCGGGCGGCGGCCCCTTCGCCGCGGGCGTGACGGAGCTGGCGTCGGCGCCATGCCCAGCCTCAAGGGCTGGGGCGAGCCGGAGCCTGGGCTCAAGGCGGCCGGCGTGCTCGAGAATTAGGCGCTTCTGCATGTGCGCCGCCGCAGAGAGCTCGGCCTCGCTCGTCGCCGAGAGGGTCCCCACCTCGAGCCACTCCTCGTCGGCCGCCGCGCGGGCCCAGGCGAGGGTGGTGGCACCGCCGGCCGCGACCAGCGCGGTGTGGGAGTCCCACTGCCGTTTCGCAGAGAGGCCCGCGCTCTTTGCGGCCCGATTGGCTGCCTTGCTCGCCGCCTTGCCCGCTGGCTTACCCGCCTTCTTCCCCTTGGACGGCGAAGCGGCAGCGCCGCCGAAGCCCGCCATCACCGCAGGCGGCGCCGAGCGGCCGCTGCTGACGCGCAGCGACGCCGAGCGGCATGTGGGCGACAGGAGCGCGGCGGGAGCGAGAAGGGCAGATATGAGGTAGACGGACATGAGCCAGGCGTGGCGTGGCTGTCTCGCTCACCAACGCGTGGTTGAGCTCGCGGATTTGGGTCCTGTTTGGGTAGGGTAAGGCATGCTGTGGCGTGTGTACTTGTTACGTGAAAACCCGCTGGGACCCGGACGCCAGCACACACGGCTAGATTTCATGGCGGGCCGCCTAGGCCCTGGGGTCGGAGGCAGAGTCGGTGGGGGTGCCGCGTGCGGCGCGGGCTTCGCTGTCGGGGGCGTTTAGGGCGGGGTCGGGGAAGGAGGGTGGGGTCGGTCGCATTGGCGGCCGCGCGGCAGTGGCTGCGGGGGGGGCGGGAGGAGGTGGTGGCGCCGACCGCAATGGCGGCCGAGGACCCGACGTCGAGCGCCGGGCGAGATCGCGAGGGTCGAGGGTGAGCTCGAAGCCGAGGGCGGCGGCCGAGTTCTGGATGGTGAGGGCGTCGGCGGTGACGATGGCGGCGGAGATGGCGGCGGAGTGGAAGGTGTAGTGGCGTGTGGGCGGTCCAGCACAAAGACACAATGCTGAATCCGCACAAGAACTCTTGGATCCCATCGACATCGTCGGGTTCGCCGGCGACTCTTCACCTCTGCCCGAAAAGTGCCTCGGCGCGCTCGAGGTACAGCGCAAACGCCCTGTCGAGCCGCGCGGCGTCCTCCGCGTTCGGCTCGATGGCGGCGGACGTCGGCGCGTCGTGTCGCTCCGCGATCCACGCGCCGAGGTCGGCGGCGCCTACCGAAGGACGTGCTGTGGACGTTGTCGGAGCAACTCTCGGGCCGGCGTGCCGAAGTCGGCGACGGCCGCCCGCGTCAACGGCGGCCGCCTGCAGCGCCGCGCCGAGCGCGGCCGACTCGGGCTCCAACGGGCACGCGACGCGCGCGCCAAACGCGTCGGCAACGGTCTGGCGCCAGAGCGGCGACCGCGCACCGCCGCCGACGAGTCGCACCTCGAGGAGGGGAGGTGTGTTGAGGGCGGGAGGTGCGAGGGCGGGAGGTGTGAGGGCGGGAGGTGCGAGGGCGGGAGGTGCGAGGGCGGGAGGTGTGAGGGCGGGAGGTGTGAGGGCGGGAGGTGTGAGGGCGGGAGGTGTGTGGGCGGGAGGTGTGAGGGCGGGAGGTGCGAGGGCGGGAGGTGTGAGGGCGGGAGGTGCGAGGGCGGGAGGTGTGAGGGCGGGAGGTGCGAGGGCGGGAGGTGCGAGGGCGGGAGGTGCGAGGGCGGGAGGTGTGAGGGCGGGAGGTGTGAGGGCGGGAGGTGCGAGGGCGGGAGGTGCGAGGGCGGGTGGAGCGGAGACGAGGAGCCGGGGAGGCGTGGCATCATCATGCGCGCCTCGTCGATGCGGTCGGGCAGCCCGTGCCGCTGCATCACGCCGATGGCCGCCTGGTATACAGAAGGGGGGGGCGGGAAGCGCGCGAACTGCAGACGTGGTGCACAGAGGGGGGGGGGGGGAGTGACGGCATCGCGGCCGCCCGGAGCGCGAACGTGGCCCCCTCGAGGGCCGCGCGGTAGAGCAGCCCGGGGCGCGCCTGTAGCAGGCGCGAGCCGAGTGCCGTGGGCTCCTGCACTCAAGAAGTGCGAACGAGCGGCGCCGGCTCGGCTGCATCTCGGCCGCATCTCGGATGTATCTCGGCTGTCTCTCGGCTGCATCTCGGCTGTATCTCGGCTGCATCTCGGATGTATCTCGGCTGCCTCTCTGCTGTCTCTCTTCTCTCTCTCGGCTGCATCTCGGCTGCATCTCGGCTGTATCTCGGCTGTATCTCCGCGCGCCAAGTGGCCGGCTCGCAGCCCGACCAGCGCGCCGCTCGCGTGAGGCCAATTTGGCGTCCGCTCGCCCGCGAGGAACGGGACGAAACTCACGCCGTCGCAGCCGGCGGGCTCCGCGGCGGCGAGCGAGCTGATTTCGTCGCGGCCGAGGCCGTACCCAGCCCGCACCTCCTCGGGCACCTATCGGCCTCGGGTGGCGGCCGTTGCCCGCGGAGGGAGGAGCGGGGCGGACTACGGGGATCGGCTTCTTACACCGCCTTTCCCTGCAGCAAGTCCCCTCCAACCCACCCGCGCTAGGTCCTGGGTGACGCAGGGGTCACACCCGACGACAGGGAGGAGAGGGGGGGCCGCCTCTGCAGGGGCGTGGACGCGCGCTATCCAACGGTAGTAGTGGGCTCTGTCCCCTGCTCTGTCCCTGGCGACGAGCCCGGTTAGTGCACACGCGGGAGCGATCGCACAAGTGTGCGATTCTGACATGCCCTCCCCGGGCACCTGCAGGCGGCTCCATCGCGAAGGCGTCTGGACGTGGGCCCGGGTGACGGGCGAGCGGCAGCGCCTCGGGAGAGCACCGACGCGCAGTTGAGCGTGCAGACGAGCGGCAGCCCGCCGCCTATGGGGAGATGTGGGGAGATGTGCGGAGATGCGGGGAGGTGCAGACGAGCGGCAGCCCGCCGCCCGTCGAGTCGAGGAAGCTGCAGACGGTGCCGCTCGGGTCGCGCGCGGCGGCGGGCGCCTTCCCAAACACAGTGCCGCTCGTGCCGAGCGAGACAGCGACGCGGCCGACGGATGTGCAGCCGCAGCCGAGCGCCGACATGGCGTTGTCGCCGCCGCCCGCCGAGACGGGCACACCACGCGGCAGGCCGAGCGCCTCAGCCGCGGAGGTCTGCAGCCGGCCGCACCACTCCCCCGGCCCGATCAGAGGGGGAAGCTTGTCGAGCAGCTCCTACGGATCGCTTCCCCGACGGCTCCCGGAACCACTTCCTGCAAGGCGTGCGGCAGCGGCAGCTCAGCGAGGAGCCGCGTCGACGAGCCGAGCGGCGGAGGCGTCCCACGCGCGCGCGCCGACGTCGAGCAGCCCGATGCCGGAGGCATCCGAGCCCTCCATCACCAGCTCGCCCGTGAGCACGTAGTTGAGGTAGTCGTGCGGCAGAGCGACGTGTGCGAGGCGCGCCCACGCCGCCGCCTCGTGCCGCTTGAGCCAGAGAAGCTTCGAGGCGGTGAAGCTGGCCACGATGGGCACGGGCAGGCTCTTGCTCAGCTCGGCCGCCTCCTCGGCGCTCTCCGTGTCGCACCACAGCTTCGCCGGCCGGATCACCTCGTAAGAAGCGTCGAGCGCCACGAGGCCGTGCTGCTGGCCGCTCACTCCGATGCCGCAGATCCGGGAAGCGGCGTCGCCACCGGCGTCGGCCAGGGCCTCGCGGCACGCGCGCCACATGGCGTCGACCCAGACGGCAGGGTCCTGCTCGGCACGTCCGACCACGTCCGACTCAAGCATCTCGTAGCTGACGGCGCCGCGGCCGACGACCGCGCGCTGAGCCGCGTCGTAGACGAGGGCCTTGGTGCTCTGCGTGCCGGCATCGATGCCGAGGTAGAGCTTGCCTGGCGACACGAGCGCTGCGCCGGCCGTGAGCGGCGACAAGAGCATGATAGGTGCGAGGGCTCGAAATGTGTGGAAGAGGCTGCCAGCCGGGAGCGGCGAGCTGGGAGCCTATTCACAGAGAGCTACGGGTATTTTTTCGCTTCGCTGCGCGGCCTGGGAATAGGTAGGTAGGTGGGGCACGGAGCCTGGCGATTGGCGCCCGCAATAGGTAGGTAGGTAGGGCGTTTTGGTTGTGCGAGACGGACCGCGCGCGCGCGCATGCATTGCAGGGCCGCGGGCCGCGGTGGAGTGCACTTGAAGCTCACCCGAGCTTCAAGTGCATTCCAGCTGAGAGCTGTCACTCGCGACGCTCAAGCAAACGTGCATGCTTACTATGCTTACTACTATGCTTACTTACTTACTTACTTACTTACTTAAACGTGCATGCAGGTCGTACTCGTGGAGCATGCGCGTTTGCCAATCCTCCCGATGCGCTGCCAGTCAGGATCCGAGCGGATCTCCTCGGCTGTGAACCAAGAGGTGTGGTTCAGATCCCCTGTGGCGCCTCCCGCCCACTTCGGGTTGCGCGAGGGCGCACCCTCAGGCATCCCTCCCGAGAACGAGACGCCGCCCCGTCGCGCCAAAGACTGGTCCACCATCTTGAAGCGCGTGTACCCCAGTCGTACGAATGCGTCCAGCGCCAACGGGTCCTCCGTAGAGATGTACCTCGGAAGCTGCTGCTTGCGCAAGGACGTGAGGCTATGGATACACCACTTGTCCGCCCCCTCGATGTCGATCTTGGGGTAGAGGGGCACGCCATACTTACGTATCAAGGCGGCGCACGTGACCGTGGGCACTTGCAACGGGGTGAATTGATCGAGTCTTTTACTGGCCGAGTCCATGAACGTGCTCCAAGCGGAGACTGTCTTGTGCACGTAGAACGTGAGCGTGCGATTGTGCTCGTTTCGAACGATGCCCGCGTTCACCAAGTGGAGCTGCTCTGAGCGCGCAGCAAGTGCGATGCTCGGACGGCGCATGCCCTCGCTGATGAGCACGTGATTCGCTTCGACAGCCACCACGTCGAATCCCTGAGAGAGGAAGAACAAAGTATCGTCGCCGGTGTGGAAGCCGATATCAAACACAAAGCGTCCTCGACGACGAGCCACAGCGGGCTCGCCATGGACGTAGTCGTTGCACTTTGCGGCCATCCACGCTTTCGCCGCCGCCCTGGCAGCAGCCTTGCCTTCGGCACCCTGGACGTGGATGCGACGGCACTCGTCAACGCCGGGCGCCTGAAGCCACCAGCGCGGCTTTGCCTTCAACGTCGCCCACTCTGCATCCCCGCTGACGGCGAGCGCAAAGCACAGAGGGAGCCGACGGCAGAGCTGCTTTGCATTATTGCAGCTCTCACTCGATCTGAAGGAGGTCGACCACCGTGAGTGCTGGTGGCATCGCACTCGGCAGCAGCATTCGGAATCTTGATTGTTCGCTATCATCTGGGGGCTACTCTCGTCGCCGGCGGGGCATCGAAAGTCAATCGCGCCGTATGCAAGGCTCTCCTCACCGGCAGGCAAAGTGAGTGGGGCTGCGGCGGTGCCCACGATACCCAGAGCGAGAACGGAAGCAAACGATCTAGACATATTGTGTGTGAGTCAGCCGACGAGGGTTGAGAGTTAGCGGCGAAGTGCGCACGCACGCAGCTCGACACCACAGGAGAGGCGGCGCAGACTATAGTCGAGCGCGTCGGAGAGGTGTTTGCACACTTTTACTCTGAAATTAGCGACCCGGCCAAACCGACCCCCTCGCAGTCAATGCGACCCCAGACGCGACTCGGCTAACAAACCCACGACACACACCGCCTCACATTGACAGCCAAGGTCCTCCCCGCATCACGCGATCACGTCACGGCCTGTCGTGCACCGCCATGTCCTCACCGCCTTCCGACGTCCCAACTCAACCACACGCAAACCGCGACACTTACACACGACCCAAGGGCAACACCACACGCATGTCGTGCACGGCCAGATCCGTGCGCAAGGAGCATGTTTGCACCTTGTCGGAGCTCGTCTTGATCGAGAGCGCAAGAGCCACTTGCATGTCGTGCCTGGCTAATGCGTGTAAGGCTGAGTGGCGTGTGAGCTCGAGGTGCGTCCGGTGTTGTACGGTGCGCGTGTGACGTCTGCTGAAATGGCGGTTCCGCTTGCCCCTGTGCGGCTTGGCCCACGACAACTGTGTGTACGGAGTTGGAACAAGCAAGTGCTCTTGCTCTTGCTGTATGCTGAAGTGGCTGCGCCCCGTAAACGAACATCTTGTCATCATCAGTTCATCACTTCATCAGTGATCCCATGGAGCCCTTAGCTCATGCGACGGCGTCGCCCGACGTGCTTGCTCGTCTATGGAAGTACGCCCGCCGGCGTCGCGGCGGCGCTGTGCGCGCCAGCCTACGCTACACTGTGGTGCCGTGCTGGACTGCTGGTGTCGCCTTCTCGGTACGGTAATGTCGGTGGCATGAGCTCTCGCTTTTGTGCCTCCCTCGGCTCTCCCCACACAGAGAGGTTTTGGTGTGAAGATTCCTTAGTGTGCGAGATGCCTTCGACGCACGCGACGAAAAGAATGCTCAGTCCACTGCTGGCACTGCTGCTAAGTCATGCGCAGCCCCCCTATCTGGGTAGGAGCCGGAACCCTCTGAGCCTGGGGACGGCAGGGCAAGCTCTACCTGGCGGCATGAGCGCGGCAAGGGCCGGAGGCAAGGTGATGTGCTGGCTCGTCGCCAGCGGATTGGTGCTTGCGAGCTTGGGTGGTGGCGCACAGAGGAGCCAGGTAGTTCCTCATGAGATCGCGGAAGCTGCAGGGTTAGGGGTTGAGGCGGCGGTGCGGGCGTGGCTCGACGGTGGCGGTCAGGTTGACGCGACATGCGATGAACGGGCAGCATCAGCCTCCCTAGCAACTGCACGGTTGGACGCGAGGGGGGGTGTGAGCGGCCTCACGCTTCTGGTGGCCGCTGCTCGCTTTGGCCAAGAGCGGGTTCTCGAGATGCTGCTTCAGCGCGGTGCGAGGGTCAACCAGAGGTGGGGGAAGCGCCGCACCGCGCTGATGGGCGCCGCCGAGTTCAACGAAGTCGCCGCCGTGCGCCGCCTGCTGCGGGCGGGCGCAGAACCGCGGGCGCGCGATGCCGAGGGTAATACGGCGCTGCAGATAGCTCAGAACCACGGCCACACGGAGGTTGTACAGGCCATCAAACGGTCGATTGAACATTCTGCTCCGAGCGACAAGGCGCGGCCTGACGGAGAGTCTTCACGACGGCGCGTCGTAGAGGTGGACGAATGGGTGACGTGGGCGGCCGACGTGTCCGTGGCGCTGTGTGCAGCCGTGTCTGTGGTCCTTGGGTTCATCTGCATTTGCATGCCGCAGTGCTACATGCGCGACACACAAAGAGGGGGCAACTCCCGCGCTCGCGCTCGACGCCAGCGGCGGACCTGGTGGAGGACATCGCTGGAGCACGCCAGGACGCTTGTGACTTCCGGCGTGCAGCTGCTCGCGCATCCATTCCTGATCGGCATCCGCGACTCATTTGCGCTGGCGGTGGCAACGTGGGCGTTGGTCGCGTTGGCGGCGTGCACAGCGTGGGGACACAATGCAGAAGGATGGCGAGGGAGCGTGCAGACGGTGGCGGTGGGGGCTACAAGGTTTGGCCTTTCCTTGTCGGTGGCTGTTGTGGCAGTGGCTGCGTGGGCGAAGGGGGCTGCTGCGGCCAAAGGGCTCTGGTCTTGGGCAAGTCTCCGACCCGCCCCGCCTAGTTGTCAGGAGCCGGCACACGGCTCGTCACGGCGCGGGCGGGCACAGAAGCGGGCAAGGAAGCAGGCAGTCGAGGCAGGAGGTGCGCAGCGCGCGGCGGTTGCGATGCCAGCGGCACAGCGGGCGAGGGAGGACGCCAGCAAGGCGGTGGAGCCGCGGGCTGTGCAGCCAAGCGAGCTACTCGAACCTGAGGTGAGGATTCAGGAGCGGGGTGCTCTGTCGACGTTGCCGGAGCAGGCTGCCTTGCCGGAGCAGGCGGCCTCCCCGGCCTCCCCGGCCTCGGAAAAGGTAATCGAAGACAGCGAGCCGGGTGCGCCTTACAACGACGCACTTGTGAATGACTCGCCAGCGCTCGATTCGCCGCCGCCGATTGGGGTGGTCTCTCTGGCTGACGCACACTTTGAGACGGGCCGCATGGTCCCCGAGTCCACGATGGGAGGCGAGACCACGTGTATCGTCTGCTTCACCCGGCCAAAGACGCACGTCGCGGTCCCCTGCGGCCACCACTGTGCTTGCGGTCCCTGCTCCGAGCGCATGCAAGACGCGTGCCCTTATTGTCGCGGGCCGGTCGTGATGTGGATGACCTACAGGCCTGTGTAGGGCACCGCGCCGTCTCTGATCTGAACTCTGCATGTCAGCGGCTTGTGTGCATTGCGAGGCGAGAACAGGGGAGAGGATGTCGGGGAGTGGGCCTCCTACCGCCGCTCAAGACGAGAGAATGCATGTTGCTCGACAAGGCGGGTGATGCTCGACAAGGCCAAGCCGGCTCAGCTCTTTGGCATCCCGCGGGAGGTGCTCATCGCATATAATAACGGCGGGCTCGACGCCAAGATTGCCAACGCGCGCCGGCCAGGCGACATGGACAAGCTCGTCTGGGAGCGCACGATGCTGCACCTTGAGATAGCCAGGCTCGCGCACCAGGCCGCGCAGATTTACTGCGTGGGCAAAGCCTCAGCGCCGCGGTCAACCCGTTCGAGGGGGAGAGGATCCGCATGGCAAACGAGTGGCTGTCGGCGCTGATGGGCGGGCCGCTGCCCGAGCGCCTCAACTTCGACGCCGAGACGGTCCGTCGCCTAGCCATCCCCACGTAGCTATAGCCACAGACGCTGCCACCGCCCGCTCCTCCCACCGACCGCGCCGCACATCTTGACTGCACACCGTAGGTGAAGGCGTTGTGCAGCCACGAGCGCTCTCTCACCGGCTCGACGTACGACTTCTACTGCCGCGATGCGCTGCCCACGTACGCGCGCGACACCGAGGATCTCCTCTCCTTCCTCTCCGTGCGCATGCTGACGGCACCGTCAATGGCGACTCCTACCCCAAGTGGATCGGCATCTTGCCGTCGACCTTTGAGAACGGCGTCATTGGCGTCACCTACACCGCCGCCGCCGGCGGGCGGGAAGCACCGGAGGGCGACGCGGCGGCGGAGGCGGCGGCGGCGGAGGAGGAGGGGGAGGACAGGGAGGAGGTAGACGAGGACGCGGAGGCGACGGCGACGGCGCCCAAGAAGCAGCGCACCGAGAAGCTGGTCGAGCTCTCGAAGGCGGACCTTGAGAAGACGGCCTTCCTCGGCACCACTGACTCGCACCGCGGCGTGCTCATCAAGAGTGCGGACACTGGCCTGTGGGAGGAGGACCCGCAGATCATCGCGACGCTGCGGGGATGGTCGGTCACCAACGTCAAGGCGGCGCCAGGGGTTTGCTTTGGCGTCCGTGACATTTATCCGTGTTTGGTTCTACGAACATACCAAGGGTGAACTGCTGACAGGTTTGCGATGAGGAGCGATCCGAACGTGGCATTCGGTTTATATTGAAAACAATTTCAAGCAAAAGCAGAGGTTAAATGATAAATCGGCCCCAGAAATTCGCTGTGAAACAGGGAGCGCAGCCATCCAAGGTGCACTCGAGGTTAGCCGGCAGTACTGCATGTCTCCGGACGTCCCTTGCCGCTTGCCACGAATAGAGCCGTATAAGCGCTAACCCCGCGCCAGGTGCATGGATCCTCAATACGACCGCCGCGACGTCGCTTGGCGATCGCTACGCTGCGTCGTGTGCTCGACGACGAGCCGTGTCCTACCTTGCTCGCCGACGCGCTATCACGCATGCAAGCTGCCGGAATCTCCCTTTCGTACGACACATCCGGTCCAACGTGGAGGTGGTGAGTTCGTGAGTAGTGGGTGGGTGATATGGCAGGTAGTGGCCTAGTGGGTGGTGGGTGGTGAGTGGTGAGTGGGATTGGGGAGGGAGTGGGACGGGGGTTTCATGTGTGTAGTGAGAATAGGAGCGTGGCGAAGAGCGTGGCGTGCCGGCAAGCCCTGGGGAAACGCTGGCTATGTCGCGAAGCGCCCTGACGGCACCGCAGCGCCGCTGCTCCCGGCTCTCGGACTCGTTCTTGCCCCTCAGTACGGCTTGTCGGATGCGGAAGCGGAGGAGCGTGCGCTAACCGTCGCGCTGTATACCGACGACGACGGCCAGCTGTTTCGTGTGCTCAACGCCGAGTTCAGCTCAGCGACGCGCGCGGCTCTCGGCGGCGAGCTCAGCCCGCGCCTTCGAGCATGCATCCCCTTTGCCAAGCTCCTCGAGGTGGCGCTGTGAGTGTCGGAGCTGCCTTTGGACTTCATCTTCCGCGCGCGGGCCTGGCGCGCCGTCAGGCATGTCTTTCCCGGCTACCCAGGCTTCAAGAACCTGCACGGCGGGCCATCGCCTCAAGTCCATGTACCATGACCCGGAGCACCCACCACTTCGCGGACGGCTCCACCGTCTGCTGGCGCGTCGTTAGCACCCCTATGCATCAAAGCTGCACCACCCCTCATCGCAGCCTGCCGTTCGCAGGTACCAGTTCAGCTCCTGCTCAAAACACCGGCAGGGAGTGCTGGACTTTGCTGGCAAGAGCGGTCCGAGCACACTCTTCGAGTTGGACGTCGAGCGTGGCTACGACATCAGCCGCCTCTCGTGCGCTTCGGCGAACGCGAGTCGGAGGCGCTCGCGGTGTGACGGCCGGCTCTGTCCCACAGGCTCACACCAACTCCCCTGTCTGCAGGTGCTCCTCCCCCTGCTCACGCAGCTGCAGGTGATCGGCCTGGCGGTGGCGGCGGCGAACGAGAGCACAACACGGTCGTCGCTGAGTGCGGGCTGCTGCAGCAGGTGGACCGGCTGATTGCGCTGCTGTTTGGCGGGGCGCAGGCGGGTGCTCCGAGGAGTCATAGGACTATACAGGACTGTAGGGGGCATGATAAGAGTCGAGAACTGTAGGGAGCAAACGTTTCTTCTTTTTTCTAGGGTACCATACTTGACCCCCCCCCTTGCCTCGTGTTTTTCGCAGGTTTTTCGTGCCAAACCAGCGCGATCTCGGCGGGGCGTCAGCGCCTCTCGGAGGGGCATCATGCGCTCCCGGGGCCGCCCGACGGCGCGGGCCTCTTGCTGATGGACCCAGCCGAGGTGCCCGACCAGTCGGAGTGGCGCTGACGCGCCGCGCGCGACCACCAGCCAGCTTTCCGGCCGGGCCGAGAACGGTGCCTCGAGAATGTAGACACTCCAAACAGTTGCCGAGTTTTTTCCCTCTTTTTGAGCGCCGCTGCTGCACACCCAGCCCACCAGTGATACTAGACGCACCAGATTCACCCCGTCGCGAGCTTGACCGCGACCCCGATGACCGCCCACAGGTGGCTGATCGCGGCTCCACTCATCGCTGCTTTCGCGCGCCTGCTCCACAGAGGGCTCCTGCGGCTCTCCCTCGTCGCGTGACCGCCGCCGACAGCATCTGCTCGGTCGTGCCCGCCGGCGCGGAGCTGCGCCACGTCGAATTGTTCGGCGGCTCGACCGCCGGCGCGCCCACCCTCGCCTCCTGCGCGCCTCACACTCAGTTTTCACCTCGCGCGCGGCCGACAAAGTGAGCTCACGACCACCTCCCCCTCGCTCCTGTAGGTGGGCCGCCCCGCGCTGGCGGGAAGAGGCGCGCCGAGCCATCGGTGACGTCCTGGCGAGCTCATGGGCCCCCAAAAGGTCGCACCCGCCCGTGGCTCCGCCGTCGGCTCCGCCGCGAGCGGCGACGGTGAGGCCGCCGGTGCTCGCCTATACCGGCTAGTGTGGAGCTCTCAGTGTGGTTGCGTGTTGTACTAGTGATGCTGCACTAGGCGGCCCGTTTTTAGCAAAAACCAGATACCACATCGCGTGTGGTCGTCGCAAAACCGCATCTTCGCCCGTCTGGGACCTCTTCGTACGGCTCCAAAAACCGCTCCTTAACGACGGCTACGCGGCCCGGCGGTCGATCTGCGCCTTCTCAGCGGTGGAGGGGATGTGGGCGGTACGTGCGTACCGCGTGGTGTTGCGACGGTTTGACGAGTGCGACTCCCAGCGTCGACTTTTCGACCCCACGGAGCCTCTGCTGCTCCGGGGGGGGGGGTCTGCAGACCACCCGGCCGAACTTCAGAGTCGCGGTGCTCCTCAAATACCGCTCAAACGCCCACGATGTTGTGGAGGGGACATATGCTGATGATCCTGGCCCGATTGGTTCGCTCAGAAAGCTTCTGGGCGGTCGTTAAGGTTCGCTCCCCGCACAACCGCCCGGAAGTATGGTACCCTAGATTTTTCATTCCGCTATGCGGCTACGCGCACACGCACTGATATATAGGGCGTGTAGGGGGTGGCGGGTGGGTCTTTCTTTCCCTCCGTTTACTGACTCGAACCGAGCGACACATGAAAGGGCTCTGTTGACAGCACGAAGGTGCTCACCTCGCCCAGTCGATCCCTTTTCGGCGTTAGGGGATTCCGAACAGGCCTCAGGCCAAGACCAGCGGCTTCTTCTGACCAAACTCATTCGTGCCGCCCCCACCCTTTGACAGGTAGGCGCGCAGGAGGAAGAGCACGGCTGCGATCCCCGCGAACCAGTACGAGTGGAACTTGTTGAGCGACATGCCCGCCTCGTCCAACCAGTCCGTGATTGGCTCGCACGTCTCCGCGTAGAGCAGGACGCCCTGAGCGACCAGCAACGCTCCGAACAGGCCTGCCGCCGTGTCGATTATGGCGTCCTTCTTCCCCGCGATGAAGCAGCCACCCAAGAGCGAGGCGACTGCTATTGTGCCCCAGATGTAGTACTGGTTGTCTTTGCTATCCAGATCGAGGCCCTGCTCCTCCTCCAGCCACGGCTTGGCGAGCCCAATGCCCTGTTTCGCTAGGTAGCCGCCGAGAATCGCGCCGAGACAAAAGAAAGCCGTCTTGACTTGTGCGAGCGCCCAAAACGCGAGGACGAGTGTGAAAATCGCAACGCCTGCAATGCCGAGGACGCAGTGCATCGGCTTTGGCCCGTCCTCGTTTTCATTGACAAAGTGCCCGCTCAACAGGCCCGTCGCAGTCATCAGCTTGTTGCCGATTATGGCACCGAGAAGCGCTGCGACGATCCAAATGAGGTAGGACGGCCAACTTGGGCCGAGGAGGATCGGCGCGAGGAGAAGCGCTCCGCCGAGACAGAGCGAGATCGTAGTACTCGCGTAGAACTCTGGCGACGAGATGTCATTGAGAGTCTCATCATAGTCGATTGACTCGGCCGACTTGGTGAGCGAGTCGAGTGCCTTTTTAAGCTTTTGTGCATGGCTGCACCAGTCTTGGTCTTCGACAGAGATGCCCTGCTCATCGAGGAAGTCCTCCGCTTGCGATATCCCCCCCGCGATGCCATCCATAATCTCACCGCCCAGTTTGTCATCCGCCGCGTCTTCAGCCCACTCGTTGATCCAGAGGGGGGTCCGTCCTGTTGGTACCGCAGAGAGGAGGGCGGGCAGAAGCAGGCCCGCCAGCGACAGCATGTCGGGCCGAGGGTCGGAAGCTCGGCCGGCGTGCGGCCGTTCCGCAACTCGTAAAATACGACGGTCCGTGGCGTCGCCCGCAATGGGCAAGTCCAGCCCGAAGAAGCGCGCCGCGAGCAAGCCCGCAAAAGGCAGCCAGATTCACGCCGCCTCGCCCGAGCTTGCCCCTCGGAAAGGGCTCTTTGGCATGCCTGCCAAGATGCTGCTTTCTACCGAGGAGCGGGCGGCGGGTCGCGTAGATGCAGCGAGGACCATCTGCACGACCAACCACCAGAACCCAATTCCTGCGCGAGGCCTCATTGAACCCCGACCCTCCTCGTGGCTTCGCAGGCCGAGACATGGCCGCAGCGGCTTTGGAGGTGGGGGTGCATGATTGCCTTCATCCACATGTTGCACATCCTCCGGTTCGTTATGCGCGGCGGAATCATTGGTAGCGTCGCGAAATCGGTCGTGGAATCTGTCGGCCCACTGCTTCACTACGGCGGCACCGGGAGCGTCGGCGCCAATACCGGCGTTGTTGTTCCCAAAGCAGGCCCAGACCCAATCACTGGCTTGTAGCGCTCTCTCGTTGCCTGGCTGCTGGCGTTGCTGCTCGTTCGAGCAGCCTTGTCCGGAGCCTGTCAGGGGTGGTAGCGCGAGCCCTGCTCCATTGCTCTTAGGACACACGAGTCACGTCCCGGGGGTGGCTTCTTTTTTGGTGTTGTAAGTAATACGATCCGGAGGCGGCAGGCGCGGCCGGCGCCGACGTGTGACCATTGACAACAGAACACCGGAGCCCGCCGGGTTGCGCCCCGCGGGCACACGCCGGCGATACACGCCGCCGACACCCCGGCGAGGAGGAAGCGCTCCGCGTGTCTCCGCTGTGCGCAGGATGCGCGTCATGTGCACGAGGGGGCGCGCGAGAGGCGCGACTATGCGAGCATGGAGAGTGTGCTGCGCTGGCGCAAGGCTGCACGGCGCGGTGGGGGAGGCGGGCCCCTTCCGCCCACAGATCACTCGCTGTAGGCGTCCGCAATGATCGTGCCCCCGTTTGCGATTGCCGCCGGCGCCGTGCCGCCGCCGCCGCCGGCCGACTCGCGCATCTGCCTCTGCAGCAACCGCGTCGCCTACCCAGAGGTGCGGCTGTGCAGAGACGCCGTTCACAGCGGTGCCTCTGCAGCCGCCGCGTCGCCTCGTACTCCTCCCTCGTCGGCAGCTGCGGCACGTTGGCCGGCGCGACCACCGGGCCGCGCGTCTGCGCGTTGGCCGGGAGCGGACGCATCTTTGGCTGCCACTCCGCGGTGGGGACGTAGCTACCGAGGAGGTGGTCTGTGGCGGGAGGAAGAGGTGGCGGCACCGCTGAGCGTGTGCGCCACCACAGGGCCTCGCCGAGGCGCCCGAGGTGGCCCGAGGTGGGCCGAGGTGGCCAGAGGTGGGAGATGGCCAGAGGTGGGAGATGGCCAGAGGTGGGCCGAGGTGGGCCGAGGTGGGGGGAGGTGGGCCGAGGTGGCCCGAGGTGGCCAGAGGTGGGAGATGGCCAGAGGTGGGCCGAGGTGGGCCGAGGTGGGGGGAGGTGGGTGGCAGGGCTGCAGGCGCTACGAGGCGGGCGTGGCGGCGAGGGAGGCAGAGAGGGGTGGGTGGCTGGGGGGGGGGGGGGGGCAAGTGGAGCGGTCGGCGCTGCCTCTGGTGAGATGCGCCGAGATGCACCGAGATGCACCGAGATGGGGTGAGATACACCGAGATCGGGCGGTCCGACTGAGGCCGTTCGTCCTCGGCCTCGGCGCGTCTCGGCGAGTCACTCGGCGCATCTCGGCGCATCTCGACGAATCTCGGCGAATCTCGGCGAATCTCGGCGAATCTCGACGAATCTCGACGAATCTCGGCGAATCTCGGCGAATCTCGGCGAATCTCGACTGGAGCGCACCGCGTGCCGATTAGCCACTCCGAGAAGGCCTAGGACGGGTCACAGACAGGGTCAGGGGTAGGGTCAGGGATAGGGTCAGGGTTAAGGGTAGGGTCACGGTTAGGGAAAAGGTTAGGGCGAGGGTGAGGGCTAGGGTAAGACTTGGGACGAGTCAGAGTAGCCGAGCATCATCTCGGCTGATCTCGGCTGATCTTGGCTGATCTCGGCTCATCTCGGCTGATCTCGGCTCATCTCGGCTGATCTCGGCTGATCTCGGCTGATCTCGGCCTTGCCGCCGGCGACGCCCGGTCCGGTGCCGAAGCCGTCGGTGAGTGCGACGGGGGGCAGCCCGTGCATCGGCGGGTGGATGGCGTTCCACACCACCGCGTGCAGCAGCATCGAAGGCAGCAGGATGGCGAGCGTCTCGGGCAGGCTCCAGCCCATCAGCGCGTACGTCGGCAGCACAGACGGCAGCATCTGCACAGTCATGATGAGCGTCGCAGACCAGTGGAAGGCGGTGCCGCGGTAGTAGTCGTCGTCGAGCGACTGCGACGCCTTGTTCGCGCGCCAGCGCTCGTCGTTCTTCAGCGACATGTCGTCGTACGTCTCGGCGTGGTGCTCGACGTGTCCGTCGCCCGGCACCCTCTGCTCAGCGGCTGGCACGCCCGCCACGCGCTCGACGAGCGACTTGACCCACGGCAGCGACTCGGGCCTGTTGAACTCCAAGTGCTGGAAGTACCGGTGCGTCATGTACTCGTTGAGCGACATCAGGGCGTACATCGTCGGCAGGGCAGACACGTCACGCACGACAGTGGCAGCGAGGCTGAGCTCGGTCATCGCAGGCGCCGCAGCGGTGCGAGGCCGCGCAGCGGCGAGGCTCGCGAACGGCGAGGGCGAGTACGCCGCGGGGAAGACGAGGGTCGCCAGCATGTGTCGAGCTGCTCCTTCGTGGAGGGTTCTTCGCATCCAGCGGGGTTCTTTCACGGTATCTTGTCGCGCACCGGCGAGCGAGTGGCACGAAAGAGTGCAAGTCGCGCATGCTTTTGCGTAACGGATCTCTTCAGTACCATCTCGCACATTAACGCGTTTTGTATCTTTAAGATTTGTGATTTCGAATTTTACTATTTTGCATAACTGAGGCGGCACACTCACCCAATATATTACACACGTAGAAGGGGCCGCGCCAACTGAGGCTGTGGCCTCGCGAGAGAGGTCTAATACAGGTATGGGCCACCGGCGAGACCTGCCTTCCGGCAGCAGCATTTGCGCAGCGCGATCCATGGCGCCTGTCAGTGTGTGTGAGGACCTCTAGTGTGAGGACCTCTACCGGGCTGAGGACCTCTTGGCTGAGGGCCTCTCTGAGGAAGCTGCCTGTCAACAGGAGGGGAAATAAAGAAAGGAAATGGACACGCCAGGCTAGGTCAAAGGACGAACTGAGACCGTTGGAGATCGTTTTGCACGCAGAGGGGTCCTCAGCCCAGACAGACGCCTCGGTCCTCACAGAGGTCCTCACAGACTAAAAGCGCCAATGACGCGGCGCAACTGGCCTGCTGCCGGACGGGTACGAGCTTTCTCAGCAGAGCACGCAAGTGTCTGAACGGCAGCGGCGAGCCGCCACGGCCCATGCGGCACTATCGTCGACACACTCGAGCCAGGCTCAATGCAGATCCGCACGGCTTTCTCATTTATTTACACATCGCGTATATTGTAACTTATCCACATGAATTGGCTGACCTCTCGTCCATGAATTGGCTGACCTCTCGTAGAATTGGGGCGGCCACCACCTGGCTGACCTCTCGAGTGCAGTGGCCTCTCTGTAACAGCTACACCGGTGAGATAGCTCGTATATCCTTCCGGCAGCAGGCCAGTTGCGCCGCGTCATTGGCGCTTTCAGTCTGTGAGGACCTCTGTGAGGACCTCTGTGAGGACCGAGGGTCCGAGGCGTCTGTCTGGGCTGAGGACCCCTCTCCGCGTGCAAAACGATCTCCAACGGTCTCAGGTCGTCTAGCAGGTCGTCCTTTGACCTAGCTTGGCGTGTCCATTTTGTTCCTTTCTTTTCCCTCCTGTTGAAAGGCAGCTTCCTCAAAGACGTCCTCAGCCCAGTAGAGGTCCTCACACTAGAGGTCCTCTCACACACACTGACAGGCGCCTAGGCGCCATGGATCGCGCTGCGCAAATGCTGCTGCCGGAAGCACTTGTATAGGGGCAAACACTGAAAACGTAACTTGATCGGGGCGCGGTTTTTTTTGGACTAGACTGCTCAGGGGAGGTGGGCGAGTGATTGGGTAGCTTTGGGGCCACCGAAAATAATGAGAACCGCCCCCTATATCTCGCCAAATCTCGATTTTTCGCGGGAATGGGGGCTTCTCAGCCCCGCGCGAGCTACAGTGACTCCCCAGGGCTTGTCCCGTGGCCCAAAGTGGTACCCCGAGCTCCGCCACGAGCGTGGTCAATCAGGAGACACCCACAGTCACGGCGGGCGAGGAGTTGGGTGACGGCCAACTGTCGATTACGGCGCCTCTGGAGCCTCCTGTATCGTCGGTTCGGCTCGAAGATCGTGCCGCATCCGCATGTAAACCACCTCCGCGCCCCCGCTGGCACATGTCCGCATTGCCCGAGCCTGGGAGAAGTTCCCAGTGCCCGGAGGCTGCACAGGTCCGCGAAACGCTGGCGCTGCAGCTCCCGGCGCGCACCCCAGATTCGCGAGGAAAACAGCCGAAAACGGGTCGCGCCGCGATCGACCCTCAGCGAGCCCAGGCGAGCCTGGTAATCCCACCCGGTGGTAAGCGCACGTCCTCCGCGTAATCTAGCGCGCTGTGCAGCCCGCCAGTGCATGGCGCCGACCTGGGCCGACTGGTCGATCTCGCCGCGATCTCGCCATCCAATTCTCGGTCAGGTGTAGTGGATCACCTTAAAATCCTGGATTAATTCCTGAGCCCACCTGGCCCCACCAGACGGGTGGCACGAGGCGCCCGGGCCACTTTTTAGCGCCTCCCGATCCTCCCGGCGCCTCCTGTGGCCTCCTGGACCCTCTCCCCCGCAGCCTCTCTCGGCGACGTGGGGAGCGGCTGCCGTCCACGGCTCGCACCGGCTCTTCCAGCGGCTCCACGCTTGCCGCCTGTGACGCCCGCGCCACGCACTGCCACGCGGCCGCTCGAGAGAGCGGTCGACGCCCATACTGCTGGGTGTGGCGCTCTATCGGTCGACGCTTCGGCGTCGCTGCTTGGTTGGGGACCCGTGCCTCGACGCGGCGGCGCGGCCGAGTTCGGCTCGGTGGAACAGCGCGTCGCCACGGATGAGATGCGGCCACAAGCGGCTGGGGAAGCTCCAAGAATGTTTCGTTCTACTTGCAGGAGAGGCCCAAGCAATTCGGGTGACTGCATGGCTCTTCGCGTCGAGGGATGCGTCCAAGATAATGAGTTGCTTGATTAAAGCGCCGTGTCTTGCGGCATATTCCGGGTCATCGATCCACGTGATGTGACAAACTAGCCGCTATTAATGAATATGGGAATCTTATCTAGTTAAGGCAACCCGAGCGACAACTCACGCGCTTGGCGTGTGTGTGCCTGCTGCTTTAGCGGATCATATCCCCTCCGTTTTGTGGTAACGCGGAATATGAGCATATAAAGTACACAACACAATACCACGGTCCGTCTGCATCCTCGGCCATCTACCGCCGTATCGCATCACCCTATGTGTTCGCTGTCCACTGCATGTGTGTGCCGCAGAGTCAACGTGCATTGCGCCGTGGGCGCGCCTCGCGCGCCTGTGGCGCCGCCTCATCAGCCGCCACGCCTGCTGCGGTTGCCCGGCGCTCGCCCGCACGCGCTGCACCGTCGCGTCCGCCTTCTCCTTCGCCTCGCGCTCCGCATCCTTGCGCACCGCGTTGACGCTGACCTCCTGGAGCGTCTTCACCTGCGCCCTCAGCTGCGAGGAGCGCTGCTGCTCCCGCCGCGCGGCGGCCGCCGACGCGTCGGCGCTCGCCTGCAGCTCGGCGTACGAAGGCGCCGCCTCGGGCTCCTCCCGCGTGCGGTGCAGCGCCGAGAGCAGCTCCTTGCCGCGCACCTTCAGGAGCGAGGCGACGGGCACCGCCGCGGCGATGTGCCGGTGTAGCGTGTGGGAGCCGTTGGCCGGGTTGTACGACGGGCCCGAGATGCCCTTGGACTTGGCGAGGCAGTTCTTCAGATAGTTCGAGAGCGCGGTCTGCCCGACGTCGTGGTCGATGACCTCGAGCTGCACCAGCGTGCGCGTGATGTGGGCGAGCGGCTCCGCCGCCCGAGCGGCGGCTTGGCTGAGCAAGGACGGGACGAGGCCCTTGGCGAGAGCCAAGTTACGCCACGCCGGATCGTCGGTCGGAGGCTGCCATCGCTCGCGCAACTGCGCACAACACGCACACACGGCTCAGGCAGCAAGGCCGAGATAGAGCCGAGATATAGCCGAGATATAGCCGAGATATAGCCGAGGTGTAGCAGCCGCGGCGGCGGCTCGGGGGGCGGTGGGAGAGCAGGGCGGGCGCCTGCTTGTAGCGACTCGACTGCAGCAGCACGACGTTCATCCACTGGTCGACGAGCGTCGGGACGGCGACCCACGAGCCGTCCGCGCCGCGGCCATGTAGCAGCACGAGCAGCGCCCATGCGTGCACCTCCGCCTCGCTGGGCAACGCCTTGCCCGAGGCGCACAAGATCGAGTTCCTGCGGCGCGCGCGCGCGGCAAGAGCTCGCCAAGGCGGGGCGAGCGCGGCCACGGCGAGGGGGGGCACGCACCGCTTCGATTCGGGCGCCCCGCGCTGCAGCGCCGCGCGCCGCTCAAGCTCGGCCTGCACGCTCTGGAGGATCTGCTGCAGCTGCTCGGTCGTGACATCTGCGGCACACACGCGCAAACCTGAGACCCCCACGGGCCCGGCGGCGGCGCGGCGAGCGGGGCGCGCGCAGGGGCACACACGGGCGTCGCAAACGCGCGGGCGCAGCGCGCCTGGAGCACCAGGAAGGGTGCCACCGCTCATCGTGATCACCTGCACGCACAGGCATCGCAGATCGTCAATGTCCCGCTGTGTCCCGAGCTTGGGGCTCGCGCTCCGGCGCCACGGGCTCGACGCGAGGACTCTGGAGAGAATGTCAGAGTGAGAGTGGATGAGGTTGGAGTGGAGGCGGCAATCGCCGTGCGGGCGCGCCCGGGGCTGCAGACTCCTCCAAAGCAGCGAGACGGGAGCGCGCGCGCGACCGCGGGCCGGATTTTGCGGGGGAACTCGGGGGGAGGGCGCCCCGGACACGCCCTGCACGCGGCGCGGGCTGGCGCTCACCAGGAGCGGCAGCATTTGCGGTCTTGCCTTGCGGTTTTTCTTTCGACGCCATCATTCTTTTCCCTAACAGCGGCCTCACTTGTCGCATTTGCGAGGAAAGCAGGCGCGAGCGCTGCGGCGCCGGAGTCTTTCGGTCACCATTCTGGACCATCTTAATATTTTTCAATGATTTTTGCAGGGTCTGAAAGCTGAGACTCAGCTCTTCACGCTCGGCATGAAAGCAAGGTCCGTCCGGGGGGTCCCATTTTTCAGTATTTCCCCCTAACTTGTACTAGGTCTCACCGGACCGGTGCCGGTGGCCCATATTAGAGAGGCAAGCCAAGGCACTGCTCGCGAAGCCACAGCCTCCTGAGATGGCGCCCCATGTTTTAAGCCCAGTTATGCAAAATTGTACATTCCAAGTACGAATGTGATAAATACGAAAACTTGATACTTGTGTAGGCAAGAGGTGCTGCGTGGGCGTGAACTCAGACACTGTCGTCGTATATCAGGTTCTTGTTCGTTTTCCGAAACTTTGCTGTGGCGGCCCACAGCTCTCCTCGACGCTCGCGGCGCTCTTGGCGGCGGCGGTCATGCGGAGCCCAGGTCACGCCTGGGCAGACCTCCTTCCTGATTGATGGCCGCGCACGGCTGTCCATCCCAAACTGTCACTCCCCTTTCTCCCGGCCGGGGTGGGGCGCGCTGGGAATGGTGCGGGAAGTTCAGACATTTAACGATCCCCTCAAACAAATAATAATCGTGAATTTTTAAGAAGAAATCGAAAATTTCTCCTCCCTCGCCCCCCCCCGCCCCCCGCTTGGCCGTTACCCTTCTCCCACCGAGCCTTGTGGCCGAGCGTCATGCCTCCGCGCAAGCGTGCCGCCGACGCGGTGACGGAGGAGGACGGCAAGCGCTTTCGCAGCGCCATCGACGAGATGGCCGAAGAATTTGTCTGCCCGATCACGCAGGAGCTTCCCGTCGATCCCGTCACCGCTGAGGACGGGCGCGTGTACGAGCGGAGCGCCATCGAGGCGCACATCAAAGGGCGCAGCGCGGAGGCACTCAAGTCGCCGATGACCAACGAGCCGATGGGCCCGCGGCTCTTCCCGGCGGTGCAGGTGCGCAACAATATTGAGCGCATGATCAAGAGCGGCGCGATTGGCGGCGACAAGGCGGCGGCGTGGAAGCAGCGGATCGAGGAGGAGAAGGTGGTGGCGAAGACGCGGACAGAGGCAGAGGGCGGCGACGCTGTCGCGATGTCGAGCCTGGGCTTTTGGTACAGGGACGGAAAGCACGGGCTGCAGGTCGACCAGAAGCAGGCCTTCGAGTGGTTTGAGCGGGCGGCGGAGCTGGACGACCCGCGAGGCCTCACAGCGTGCGCTCGGATCTTGCTCGAAGGCCGGGGCGTCTCGGTCGACACCGCGCGAGGTTTGGTCATGCTCGGCCAGGCCATCGGACAGGGGTCGGAGCAGGCTTGCTACTGGATGGGGCGAATTCACCAACGCGGCTGCCACGGGCTCAAGATGGACGACAAGCAGGTCGCTCGCTGGTTCCGTAAGATGCCAGGCTGCTCGTTCAAGAACGGCTCCGCAGACTCCCGCGACAATGCGACCAAGTGGCTGCGCGAGCACCCAAGCGCCTGATCGCGGCCCGCTGGCGCGAGGCAGGGTGTCCGGGGGAGGGTGCGCGTGGTGTCCCGGCGTGTGATCGTTTTTGTTTTTTCAAGTGTTGCTACCTTTATAGAGAGCGGAGAGTTCGAGGTGCGTGGGTACGCCCCGCGCGGGGGCGGCGGGTGTGCGGGATGTCTGTGGGCCCGAGAGCGATATGCCTTCCCTTTTGTATGTATGTGTAGGAAGGTGAAGAACAGTCAGGCTCGGACTGGACACCGACGCGGTATGGGTGGACGCTCCTTTTTTTCGTTCGAAGGCTAGCTCAAAAAAGAAAGAATTAAAAAAGAATTTCGCGGCCGAAGTGTGGCCGCTCGGCTTCTTTGTGGAGAGGCAGCGCAGGAGGGCCGCGGGTACCAATGTCCGCTGCCTCCTCCAACCTTGTGGGGGACGCCCGCTTGGAGGACAGCACCGTTAGCGACGATGAGGCGGAAACGTCCGACGGCGCCGGGGCCGAGCTCTCAGAGCAGCTGAGCGCCTCAAGCCTTCACGAGGACAGCGTGCCCGCCGACTGCGCCGTCCTGTGGGCGTCGCTCGACCCTGTGCGGCGGTGCATCGACTTTTACCCGCGCGCGATCGCGCAGCGGCTCGAGGCGGCGCTCGGCAGCGGCGAGGACCGCTGCGTGCTCGGCGCCGACTTTTTCAACGCGACCGTCCACCTCCCGCCGGACGGCGGCTTCTGCCAGACGACGCCCGGGCAGCACATGGGGCGCTCGGGATACAAGGCGCCGGGCTTCCGCTCGGCGTGCCGCATCGTGCACCCGCGCAGCGCGCGCACGGTGACGCTCCATGGGCGTCGCGTGCAGGGCGAGTGGCGCCTCCTAGGTAGAACTGTCCAGGAAGTGTCGAGGACGTGTCTAGGAAGTGTCTAGGCGAGTGGCGCCTCGCCGAGAGCGGCGACGACGCCGAGTACAGCTTTGTCGAGGTCGCGCCCGCGCACTGCATGCTGTGCCGCGAGGCGGCGGAGGAGCCGTGCGCGCCGCTGCAGACGTGGGGCGCCGCGGACATGGCGTCCTCCGCCCCGGCCGTCCTGCGCAAGCCGGTGGTGGCAGTGGTGCCGCAGCACACTTCCAGTGTTTTCTTGGTGACCGTATTTCTTTTCTCTAGGTGGTCGTGTGGCAGTGGTGCCGCGGCACACCCGAGCGCGACGGCGATCCGATGCGGCTCGGCGACGAGATGTGGTACCCCTACCTCTCTAGAACCCAACCCTCACCCCTGTCAGTCTGCCAAGTCGCAGCACGGACGACAATCACACGCACTCGCCGAACACATGGGAACCCTCACCCTCACCCTCACCCTAGGTGCCCCTACCTCTCTACAGCCCTACCCTCAACCTCACCCTCACCCTCACCCTCACCCTAGGTGCCCCTACCTCTCGGACCAGAACACGGCGATCGAGGCGGCCTTCAGCGCCGGCGCGGGCGCCGCGGCGGTCGACTTTGAGGCTCGCTCACACACACACACACACACACACACACACACACACACACACACACACACACACACACACACACACACACACACACACACACACACACACACACACACACACACACACACACACACACACACACACACACACGCACCGCTCACCCACGCCGGCACTGGGCCTTGCACTTTGAATGCCGTGCGGCTCCTGTCGTCTAGACGTGGAGACGCGAGGGACTAGCCTGGCCCCTGCCCCACCGCCCCGTGTGTGTGGAGAAGTTTACCTTACTCTACCTCACCTTAGGCCCGATCGCTCCGCGTTACCTTCAGCCCTGGCGCGCCTACCGCACCACCCACGGGACTGAACCCACACTGGGTTCGATCCTCTGGAGGTATGGTACTAGGCACGCCGTGCTAGAAGCAGAAGCCACGTTCCTGTCTCCCAACCAGCCCTCGGTGGGGCAGCGTGCTCCACTCTACTCGGCCCTGTGCCGCTGTATTCACTGTCTCCGCCTCTCTTGGTACTCACGCGGTGCCATGAGCTCTCTGCACGACACCGTCTTCCCGCCCTCATGTCGGCGCATTCACAGCGTCTTCACAGCGCATTCACAGCGTATTCACAGCGTATTCACAGCGTGTTCAAAGCGTATTCACAGCGTGTTCAAAGCGTATTCACAGCGCGTTCAAAGCGCAT